ACAGTTTCTCTTCGACTTACGATCGAGTTCCGCTCCGACTATCTTATCACAAGTGGAATAAGTCGTAAATCGATTTATTTCACCACTATATTCATTTAAACGGGTACTAAAAACTATACATTACCACACAAATAGTCAACCTAACCACGCGTAATTATTGTACATGATGTGAAAAATATATAATATGTGCTCAGCTCTAGGAATTCATTTCATCTTAACAATGTATTTTTTATTTTTTATTTTTTTATTTTATTTATAATTTTTTTTTTCAATAGTGCGATTGGTTGTACGTCGCATGGGTCGTATGGGAAAAAAAAGGGAGTGCGGTACACTATATCTATCTAATGCTTCTTAGTGATTTAGCCGATTAGATCACACTCGAAGATCGTTTGTTCTATTCACCGACTGCATCGTTCGGGTGCAGTATAATGAAGATCCTAGAGGATTGTCTTGAAGATCTTTTGTTTTTTTCACCGACTGCGTCATTCGGGTGCAGTATAATGAAGATCCTAGTGGGTTGTCACAGGAACTACAGAATTCAAACTTTGTGCGACGCTCTCGGCAGGCGGCTAGCTTTTCTGTAGAAACAGACCGAGCTATGTTGGATTAAAAACCTGGCGCAATGAAGCTAAACCAACAATACTCTAAACATTCAAAAATTAAGACAATAAGATTAGTAAAATGAGATGTAATGGCGACAGATTTAGTTCTTGCATGGTGCCCTCGGGGAGCTGCATGGATCATTAACACGACTGAATCGTCTCAGGAGCACATAATTGGAAGCTCGGTCCACGACCGGCTCCAGCTGACGGGATGTGATGCTGAAGTCACCGGGTCGGGCTTACGATGCGTTAACGCAGCGGTTCTCAAACTGGGTGCTGAGTCAGCCTGGGGTGCCGTGAACGTGTGCCAGGAGTGCCATGGTAATAATCAAGAAAAATCAGCTAAAAATTGTAAAATTAATAAAACAGACATGTAGATACTTAAAAGTTCAAATTTAAGTTGTCTTCTATTGTAACTGTCGAAAATAGTTTTCATTTGATAAAATGAAGACCAGCCTATGCAATATCATTGCGAGTTGATGTAAATGTCATTGCACACCGACCGCACCAAGGTGGTGACGAATCTCTTCTTGACCTTCAATGTGTGTAACAGAATAAAAACTGCATTTCTTTACTTTTTGTTTAAAATTTGGTAATCATTGGTATTTGTACAATTATCGATGTGTCGATGTAGCTTGTGATGCTGTAGGTTTAGGAAAGTGTACAGGTGTACACATAAGCCATGGTAGATATTCGGTTCGCCTAGTTTAACACACAGTAAGGGACACTGCTGTATGTGGATTGGCAGTGACGACACATGTCTCGCTAGCACCTAAAACACAGGCTACCATAAAGGGAATCGGATCACTTCCTTTTATCTCGCTCAGAGCCAAATTGACAGAACAGTGATCAGCTGGTCTCAAAGACGTCAGCAGCACGTCCTGTCAGCTGGAGCCGCTCGTGCTCGGACAATCAGCATAAGGGGCATCTTGCCGGGACAAACATTAAAATCATAGACACTTTCACAACTAGAACGATGGCGGCAAATGCAACCAGATTAGCAGGAAAGGTGCAGGTAACGCTTAGAGGTTCGACTTCACTGCACCCTGTGTAATCGCACATGGCTCAATCCTTCTCTCGGCAGAACAGCTGCCTGCTAAGAGCGTCGCACAGAGCACGACCTCTGTAGCTTCACAGACTATCCCCGAGGATCTTCGTAAAAGTTGCAGTCAATAACTGAACGTCATCGCTGTGAAACGAACACACGATCTTCAGAGCACGAGGCAAACGGCGTGACCACTAGGAGATCCCCTAGGAGCAGGAAAATCAAGACCAAAATGGGACCCAGACAATATACCTGGATATGGACACTAAGTCATTAACCCTAGCACAATACACAAATATTATCCAATACACTTGACGTAAATAAACCAGACCACAAATATTAACAAGCACTGCTCACACCGAAAGCTATTTACAGCAGGTCAACTTTTTAATCTTTTTTAGCACAATCAGAATTGTAAAGTCAATCCATACGACTTCAAACCTTAAAAACGTGTTTCGTATTTTTTTCTTTTCAGACTCATGTGCTGTGAACGAACGATGCCGGCAGAGTGAAGTAACCACCCTGAATACGACAAAGAAGTCTAGCCGATCTGATATTCTGAAGCTCATCGGCCAGTTGCTGGAAGAGCGGAACTATGATTAGCCTACCAAGTGTTCATTAAGGTGTCTGTGAAATATATGCGACCGATGCCTTGTTCAATACAGCTCTTTTGTCTTATTTAATAGTTTATAGTGTTTAAAGTGTGCGAGTGTGTTTGTGCGTGTTTGTGAATGTGCCGAGAGAGAAAGCATGCGTGCATCGACAAACCTTTAGTCTCTAAAATGCAACCAAGGCAGTCGGCGTGGCGGAGCGGCTAGACACTCGCCTGCGGATTGGAAGATCGTGGGTTCGCTACCTGGTGGAGCCGGACTTTTTTTTTAATGACCTTGACTCCCAGGTCAACCCAGCAGGTAAAGGCGGCCGGTGTGATGCTGACCACATCACCCATCTTATTTTCCATTGGTCTGTAAAAAAAAAAGGTCTAGCCATATCTGCTTTATACGCTTAGAGGCGTGGATAGGGTCTTTACTTACTTACAATACTACCAGGCGTTGTTGTTGTACAGTTCCCTTCTTTGTGTATATTGATGTCACACCCAGGCTCGTCTTCAGTTTACTACCTGGAGGAGTCGACTGGAAAATAGAGACGATGAAAAAGATGGTCATCTCCATAGTGTTGATTACGATGATGATGGTCTCTCTTGCTAGCTGCATGTTTCTAACGTCCCTCTGATGCTTGTATAATAAAATGTATAGAAACAATTCTTCTGTTGCAAACACTGACTTTATGTGTGCTTCTTCAATAACATGACAAATAATATCATTGATAATCGTAATGGTCTGTGATTTATCTCTATAGATATGTACCCTTGATGTCACGATGTGTTTGTTCTTCGTCTCTGTTCAATTGTGAAATGGTTTTGTATCTGTAACTATCGCCTGACTTCTAGTGCTGACTGGTACTAAGGGTTTGATCGTTGACTCTTAATATTTATGTTTTTATCTAATGTGTCGCTACAAATCATAGATCCGTGTATTTTTGTTGTTGTCTCTGTAGCTCGATATCGCGTGTCGTGTCTCCTCTCTAGTGATTAGTGATTATTGATTAGTAAGGATTATCATCAAGCACTCAGGTTTGATCCATAGGTGCTCCGATCTCCTCCTCAGACGTTCCACAAGTGTAAAACGACTGATGATGCCTGTTCTGTGTTGTTTAATGAAACGTCTTGTCCCCTGAGTGAAATGTTCATTTCTTGCAGATTCAGACTGCACCCCCATGTCCATCAGCCTAGACAGGGAACAGAGTCATGTCCTTTGGCGTTCTCGTCGTCACAATAAGTGCTGCTCGTGGCATTGATAACATCACTTCTATTCAGTACTGGACCAGCCATAATAACCGTAGTATCAGCAAGCTAATCTGCACGCTCGTTCCTTTGAACACCCGCATGACCTGGCACAAAGATGAAGGTTAGGGTTGTCATTCGCGAAGCGCTTAGTGTTGCAAACCATTGTTGCCTGATAAATTCAGCTCAGAGTATGTTTTTTAAAGCATGTTCATCGAGTCACCAAATATACACTCGTATGTGAACTTTTGAGAACCTGACCGTGCTAATGTCCTTTTTACAGTCATGGTTTCCACTGTAAGGCTACTAGCACTAACAGCAAATATGCCATTTATCTCTCTGATGCTTTCTCCCCTTGAGCTTACTGTGAATTCCCGTACACTTCGTTGCTCCCAATTACTGACCCATCTGTGTAAACTATAGTATCACCTTCATCTGTGTTTTCGTCAATCAGTAGTCTGACTAAAGTGTTCACAATTCCAGGAAATTTTTATTTGATAGTTATCAGACGAGGAAAAAAAAAAGAAAGCGATGTGCCGTTTTCAAGTGATGAAGTTGAGAAATGGCCTTTAGTTAGGGCAAAAATGCAGTTTATCATCGAAATGTCACCCACACATCATTTTAGTTAATCAGCTAGTCAGTTCATTTGATGACGATGTGTTTTCACACTTGCGGAACATATTAAGGAATAGAATAAAACACACCACATTTGATTTGTTTTTAGATGAAAGATCCTAGAGAATCGTCGGGGAATGTTGCAAATCATCAGGACATCAATTACCAGAAGTGACATTATCCTGATATCTTTATCATAATGGTAGGTGATACCCCTGCAAAATAATCGCTATAGGTTTTTGCATCTAAACGGTACAATTCATACATTTATGTAGGCCTAGAGTATATTATGACCATGGGTAAATATCTATTACACTGATACAGCAATAATACGTAATACATACAGTGGTTAATATGTAATTAGAATCTACTTGCAGTGATATCCGAAATTAATGTTTCCCCTTGAAATCTTTTTTGTCAAAGAATAGTCAAAATTCGGGGCTGGAAATAGATTAAACCATTATTATCTAATACCTATAGGAAAAGCTCGTTTGATATTCGTCCTTTTTAATATTCGCCCTCCCCTGAGAAACGGATTAATGACAAATATTATAGAGAGAGAGAGAGAGAGAGAGAGAGAGAGAGAGAGAGAGAGAGAGAGAGAGAGGGGGGGGGGAGAGACAGAGAGAGAGGGACAGGCAAAAACTGCATTTTATCAAATGAAGACCAGCTTATGCAATGTCATTTCGAGTCAGTGTCAATATCATTGCGCATCGACGGTACCAAAGGTGATGACGAATCTCTTCTCATCCTTTAATACGTGTGACAAAATAACAAAACATCATTGCTTTTGGTTGGAAAGAGTTTTAACGAAGTGTTTTAATTCCAATGGCACCAGTAACTGTATGACTGTATATTCGTCTCGCCTTTCCTTTGAGTGTTGAGCATCGGCCAGATCCCCTTGCAGTTCCTCGCAGCGCCATTCTCTTCAGAACGTATTAATCTATTTGCGCTTCCGCCCTGTTCACTGGCTCCCAGAGGTTCCTCATAACATCTAGCTTGTCCTACATCAGTTCACCCCCAAATGACTCAGAATCGGCCAGTCTATCTGCCTGCTCATTTCCCAACACAGCATTAACTCGAGAGAATATACAAAGGATGCTAAGTGAAGTCATGCTTGACACTCTGATCGGAGCATACCTGTCTACACGCAAGATACTACACACAGAGAAGTGGCCAGGGGTGTTACTGTCAGTTTTACGAAAGATAAAGCAGGGGTGACTTCCGGTCTAAAATGGAGGATTAGGCATGGTAGAATATTTAGCTTCCAACAGCGCTTTGCTAACGCAGTTTCCATATATTTCGCTACCTGAGCTATTGAGTTCACTACTTGGTGCAGCCCAGTGAGCTGTGCTTTTATGTGGGATGTCTTTCATATGTGCAGCGGTTGTGTCGTGATATTCAGTATGGCCGGTGGACGGTTTGCGTGTGAGCTGGTGAAATACCTTATGTGTTAGTGTATGGCCAATTTGTCGGGTCCGACTGCTTCCATCGACGACAACTGCATTTCTGTTTTGGAACTATTGGCTTTGGCGTCTCTAGCCACTGCGATATGCCCTTACTGAGTGCGCATGTTTCTGGATTGTGCCGGGACTAATTGTTTATTCATCAGTTGTTGTTGTTTTTTTTATGAGACAGTGAGAGACATTTCATTTGATTTTCACTGGTACAGGAACGGAGCAAGTTTTGGGAAACCCGATTGCAGTAAAGTTGAAACTTCGACTAGGACTAAGATTGATTTAGAAACAGATTTCTCACATTCTATATTGGGTCAGTTTTAAAAGATGGCTGAGAGTCATGAACAATTAATAAATAAGCCAAACAACTTCATGAAGCTTCAGTGATGTGTTTACAGAAGAACACTTAGAATTCCCTGAACAACCAAAAAAGAACAACCTAGATGTTTTTATAGAGACGAGAACCTGAAAACAACTTATCATAGACATCAAAAGAGATAGTCATCATTTTCTGATCATGTTACCACAAGAAGGAGAACACATTGTGATCACTTGAATGATCTGTGGAACAGCTAAAAAAAAAAAAAAAATACTGACAGCCTTTTGTCATCGTGTGGAGGGGTCTCAGCACACGAACTGATAATTGCTGTTAAGGATATCAAGCTGCCAAAAGAGACAAGATCCCTCACACCAGTCGGCAAGGCACTTTATAATGATTATACGTGCATACAGTCTGGAGTAGGTCGTGTATTCAAGAACTTGCGTACCTTGATAACACGCAATTGATGAGGTTTTAAAATGACGTTTCATATAGGATAGGCTAAATATGTGCTGCATTTCGCAGGATGAAGAATATTCTGTGCAATATTTCTGTGCAGGTGTGTGTTGTGGGAGGGGCGGGGGGACGGGGGGGGGGCGTGGTTAAGACAGATACGTGATAATGCCTATGAGCATATAGAAGCAAATCATTGCCAGCAGATTATTTAAAACAGTTACTAATTAACATGTCCGAAAACAAATTGAAATCTTCTAATTTTTCGTGCTCACCAGCTGCAAACTCTGGCGAAAAGTTCTGGCTGTTCATTCACTTTTGAACAGCAGTCCTGTTCCACAACCTGAAATGAATACTCCCATCAGAAGAAGCCAATACACATTCTTGAAGCACGTTGTAAGTTTGAGGTTTGAACAACGGATCAACATCATGGCTTACGGAAGTAACCCATAAGTGCTCCATTCTTCTTCTAACTCAAGTCTGAATCCGAAAAAGCTCAGCACAGTGAACAGGCTCTGTAGCACCGGCGAGGATCCTGAAATACATTGGGTAGGTTTTAGACTCCAAATGTTGCGGATCAGAAGGTCATGAGTTTACTTCCAGGCGGAGCTGGACTTTTTTTTTTTTTCAAAAATGAAGTTATCTCCCAAGTCGACCCGTTCTAAGTGGGTACCTGGTGCAGTCCCGGTAAGTAAAGGCGGCTGGCGTGATGCTGACCACATCACCCCCCTCATGCCGATTGGTGTATAAAATATAGGTCTAGCCCAGTGCCCTATACGCACAGAGGCGTGGAAAAGGGTCCTTTTTTTTACTACTTACTTCTTCAGTTGTGTTAACAGTGTTAATGGGGTGTAACCCATCATTAAAATTGCCCAATATAAACAGTTAGTGCCCTTTTTAAATATATTCTTTTTTTCTTCCTTTGTTATTGCTATGTTTATCAACCCTGAGACCTCAAAGACACAACGTGGGAGGCAATCCAACAAGACAAACTCCAGATATTCCGTTCAACCTCATAGCAAGTTATAGTTTGGGCTAGAGACCTAGAGACTATTGACAGAGTACAAAATAATGCCCTCCGATCAATCTGCGGAGCTCTGCAGTCTACACCAACTGCTGCATGTGAAATCCATACAAATGTGGAACCCCTCGGGTTGCGGAGAGAAAAAGCCACTTTAGAAATTTATGAAAGAAGCATTAGAAAGAATCGTAACCATCCTAATAGACATCTTGTAGAAAACTGGGAATACAAACAGAGAATAAAGCACAAATCGGTTTTACACTGTGTTAATGAAATTCAGGACAAATACCACATCCCAGAAAGATGTCAAGGCGTTCAGAATGTTGCAAGAAACCTACCACCACATGCTCGCTTTAAAGCTTCAGAAGTCCGAATTAAATTGGTAGGCGAGGAAACCAAACAGTCCGACCCAGTCGCTCTTATGAACTCATCACTAAAGACCGTTAATTCTTACCCCGAAGAATGGATACATGTTTATAATGATGGATCTGCATTTAAAGCTACCATTAAAGCAGGTTACGGAATCTACATAGGTTATCCCAATGGATCTGTTGAAAAGATTTTTGATGCATGCGGGGAATTCTGTTCAAATTATGAAAATGAAATAATTGCACTAAAGACTGTAATGGATGTTTCCCTTCAAAGACCCAAAATATTGTCATCTTCACAGATTCAATGTCTGCCCTTCAAGCTCTGGAGGGCAGTGAACGCTGCAAAACTGACATAGCCAATATAATTCTGGATGCTGATCAGCTCATTACTTCATACAACATCAGAATAGTGATGCAGTGGATTCCAGGCCACTCCGGCACACCAGGTAATGACAGAGCTGACAGATTGGCAAAGAAAGGAGCAACACAAGAACAACCACCTACAGCGACAACCCTACAGACAGCAAAAACACTTATAAAATCTATAAACAAAGAGACTTGGTTGAACAGATGGGCTATGGGAGACACTGGAAGAGAGGTTTATAGACACATGGCTGGCCCTGATCCTAATGACAGCATTAACCATCTAACAAGAAGGGACCAGGCCACCATCTTCAGACTTAGAACGCAACATACTCCACTCAATGGACATCTAAACCAAATACAGCCATAACACTCCCCAGAGTGCCAGCTATGTAACTACCCCTACGAAACTGTTGAACACCATCTCTTCGAGTGCGCAAAACTCAGCGAGACTAGAAGAATGCTACTCCCTCCGAGACCAGACAATGGAACACCTTGTACGGAGGAAAAGAACAGCTTGTGAAAGCAAGCAAATTCCCCTACATGGCAATGGACCTAAGGGCAAAAGGTCATGCGCTGCTGGATCGATAACAACAACAACAACAACATAGTTTGGGCACCCCTAACGGCTATATCAAGTAAAAATGTCTCAAAATCGACAGTGGACTATGGGTTACTTCCGCTTGCTGCTTCCCTAACTACAGCAGCCGTGGTGTAGCGGCTAGACGCTTGAATGTGGATCAGAAGGTCGAGGGTTCGAGTCCTGATGGAATAAAGACTTTTTTAAAATGACTATGGCTCTAAGGTGGACCCAGCCTTCAGTGGGTACCAGGTATAGTCCTAGGAAATAAAGGCGACTGGCGTTATGTTAACCACATCATCCATCAAGTACTGATATTAATTTGGATTACAGCAATGCTACAATGTACGAGCTGTTCGGCCCAGCACTTCCAATTTAAAAAAACCCCAAAGTAATTGCCTTTTACGACATGTTTATTAAATAAGCAACAGTTCCATTCTTTCATCCTACGAGAACAGGGGCCTGAACCCACACTAAGAGAATTACAAATACAGTTAACAAAACAAGATAATATACAGTGCAAACACCGCAATATAATGTATAACTATATAACATGCCTAGTGTTAACAAATACGGTTGCACATAAATGCATCATTGAGCATTTTCATATAAATTAATGGAATAATTCTAACATCCTGCGGATCGGAAGGTGGGGAGTTCGCGTGCTGACGGAGCTGGATATTTTTTTTTTTTTCAAAAATTACCCTGGCTCCCAGTTTGACCCAGCCTTGAATGGGTACTAGATGCCGTCCTGGGAAGTAAAGGCGGTCGCCGTGATGCTGACCACATCAAGTGCTGATTGGTCTATAAAACTGTAAGTAGCTTTGTATTCCCAATACGCATAAAGGCGTGGAAAAAGGACCTTTACTTACTTTATACAAGCGTTTCATATTCTGCAAACTGCTTGGACTTTTGCTGTCTTGCTCCATATCATCATTAATTATGCAAACCAGCAGCATAATTTGTCAGAGTGTTGTTTTACTTGGAAAATTAGGTTAAGTAATGCACTTTATTGCAAAGCGGTCTGCTGTTAAATTGTTTTTAAATAAATTGAAACCAGTATACAAATATTATGAAGCTGCGTTCGTAACCTATAAGCAACAGGCTCTGACATTAACACGAAATCATAATATGCTAATGGATAAAATAGAAACGATACTTCACAATGCATTCTTTTTAATTCAGATATAGATATTGTTACGTTTATTGATACGGTAGTGTCAAAAACTCAGAAGGAACAACTAACAATTCACTTTTCGAAGCTTCAGTGACACCTAATTCTTAGTCCTTGAGTTGACATGAGTAAAGAATTGACATCACATCACTTGGGGGCATTCCCATGCATGCTCCGTCCTCATCTTCAGCAGCCAATGCAGAGTTCCAATACCGATGGTACCGGTCACAATCTGGTTATGTGTCCTTATCCTCTTTTAGTCCTCATTAGTATTCGTGCATATCGTAACCTTATTGCTCTAATTACCGTAAGCGTTTTATTCAATGATTACCGGAAACGATTCCAACCTCGCTCATGAACTACACCTCTAGGTCTGTCACCTGGATTTCTGGGCCGTACACCGCTTGTGTACGAGTCTACATCACTGCTCCATTCAGGGTAGGGACCATTTCTATCGCTATCACTGTCCGAATCACTGTCCCGATGTCTTCGATGACGTCGATGTTTAGGGCGGTTTTCGTGTGTGGCGTAGATGTGGAACTCCCCACCTTCCAGCTTGATCCTGACCTCAGTGTAAGGAAAAGAGCCGTATGTTCTCAAAAGTTCAGATCTCAGAAATTCCGGAATGCCTCTGAACTCTCCGTCAGAGTCTCTTACGTTGATGTTCATAACCCGTCCATACTCCAACTCACAAGTGATGTTGAACCCGGGGGTCATCATTCCGTAGTTTGGATACGGAATCCTAAATGGTGCTGGTGGCGGCATGGGAGCGTATCCAGTATATGAACTAGCAACTCCCGGAAATAGATTGTTCGGACGGTTTACTGGAGGTGGGAAAATGATCTCACCATTTGGACCGTAGTAAAATTCACGACCTTGTGGACTGTAGAAAGGTCCTACAGGCGCAGATTGTTGTTTCACGTCTAACCCTGGATAGGGTATTTGAACTTGTGGTATCACGCCAGCCACATACGGAGGATTGTACAAATGTATCTGCGTCGGGCTGGCAACAGGTACGGGAACAGGTACAATGTTGCTGGTAGTGTTCATAACAGGAGACTGTATTGAAGGCACTTCCAGTGAGGTGTGCCCAGAAACTTGCATAGCTGGCACTTCTAGGATCGGTCGCTTTCCAAAGCGGGAAGATATTACAGGTTCTACCATGTTAGGGTACTGAAGTTATACTTGACTTTTTATCTTACTTTGCTTCTCTTAATAATAAATTGTAGGTTCTCTCCTAACATCTTTTCACAGGAGAAATTGAGTCTTCGCTTAAATGATCACACTGATAAATTGTCTGCTTCAGTCAGAAGTAATCAGTCTAGTTGGCAGTTGCATCCCATGATTCATTTGCAATACTGTACTTTTCAGTGTGATTTCATTCTTGAGGTTTGTGTTCTGTGTTGCAGTCTATTTGTAGGAGCAACGATCCTGTGGACTTTAATACAAAATAGTTAAAAAGATGTTGACACGACTGCATACAGACAAGCAGACAGCCAGACAGCAGCTGGGTGAATGGACTTTTTCTTCTTCTTTTTTTCCCCTTTTCTTTTTCTTCTTCTTCTCCCTCTTCTTCTTCTTCTTCTTCTTCTTCTTCTTCTTCTTCTTCTTCTTCTTCTTCTTCTTCTTCTTCTTCTTCTTCTTCTTCTTCTTCTTCTTCTACTACTACTACTACTACTACTTTGACTTCGAAGGAAACACCCTTTTTAAAACATGCCTGTTAGGGAACATAGTGTTCCCCCCACCCCACCCCACCCCAACAAACAATGGAGCCCGGAACCCACATGGGGAACAACAATTATGCACTCTCTCCGTATGATGTCAGCTTCGTGGTAGAGTCACTGGTTGCAGGTGACACCCCTGCTAATACCCACAGCTGAATTGATTCATGTAATAACTGACTCATATAGGCAGAGCTAATCCCGGTTTTGCCCACCGCTCTGTGGGGTAGGAGAGATCTGATATTAAATGAGCGTTTTTGACATGTACACGCATGTTTGTATAATCGTAAGTAGTGCACTGTGACACGTCTACAACACACCGCTACAAGAATGTGGCATACAGTAGCGAGTGCTTATAAGACGAACATGATAACATGACATGAAAACACCGTAACAACACATGATAACGGGATATATCACTTTGTTTTATTTTTATTGTTAATATAAATTCGTTTTTTTTTTAAATGGGCGGGGGGGGGGGGGGGGGTGCACTAGGCTCCCGTCCCATCCATGTAAACTAAGTTCCCTGATTGAATTGTTATTAAGTTATTTATAACATTGTTTCAAAAATAGTTTTATATGCATTAGCCATTGAGCACATGATTATTATTATCATTATTGTTATTATCATTATTATTATGCGCTTAAACGCGGTTTATGTCCCTTGGGCCCATCCCAAGCCTTGGAAAATGTGTAAGCCCCACCCCTCTCCCCCCAACCCCGTGAACTCTTCAGTGTCTTTTATGTGTAGGGCACAGCATAAGGTAACAGGAGAAGCGGACAAAGTAAAAAGGACACAGCACACATTGGCATGACTACGTAACAGATTGCGGCACTCAGTGACACAGGCGAATGAAGTAAACGGTAACGGGTGTATCGCAGAAGGTATCTCGGGTACAACATGCAGGAAGACGTGTACAACTGACAGTAACAAGGGTGCATAGACATTAGGAAGTTTGAGCTGGGGCGGTGGTGGAGGAGACAATGAGAAGGAGGTGGAGGAAGAATAAAAGAAGAAGAAGAAGAAGAAGAAGAAGAAGAAGAAGAAGAAGAAGAAGAAGAAGAAGAAGAAGAAGAAGAAGAAGAAGAAGGAGGAAGAAGAAGAAGAAGAAGAAGAAGAAGAAGAAGAAGAAGAAGAAGAAGAAGAAGAAGAAGAAGAAGAAGAAGAAGAAAAAGAAGAAGAAGAAGAAGAAGAAAATGAAGAATTGAATACGGGGAGGAGGAGGTGGTTGCAGTCATGGTGGTGGTGGCGGAGAAGTAGGTGAAATGCAGAAAAAGAAAAACAACAACAACAACAACTTTCGTCGAAAACATCGACTCTACCGAGTAACTCTTTGCTGTTAAACTCTTTAATGGTGCCTCTGCGTGTTGTTACTGGTCACATCTCATCATGTCTGTTTGGTTTGATTCACCTGCGAAAGACACTATTTTTACACTTACCTGGGATGATATGTAACTAAGGTTCATTTTCAGCAATCATTAACATAAATAAACACCACTGTATACAGTATTATCTTAATTATGTCTCCGAGTGTGAAGGAACAACCACTGAGTCATAACTGACACAACCCTAGTTAAGGTACGCAAGAGTAGTTGCCATAGACGCCGGTTTCGTGTGTATCTGGCATAGAGCTTTTAATCGGCCGTGTATTTATGCACGCTGACCTCCCCAGAATTCCCACTTTTGGCTGACGTCTCGAAGTGTGCTATCAAATACAATGGTTTGGATATCGATCGATCTATTCAGTTTATATTTTGTTTCCATACTTAACGCCTTGGCTTTAAGATTGCAACCTATGACACTGTTGTTTGTAAATGTGACACGCTGGTATTTCAGGCCGGGCAGGGCGCTTTGGAACTTAGGGCTTCTTCATCTTGAGCCCCCCCCCCCACCCCCTTTTCCGCCTCACTATTTTTGTTTTGTTTTTTATATTGTAAGGGGCCTAGCTTTGAATTAAGCTCTCTCGATCTAAGATGTGTATAGAATTTTGGTTGTTTAACTTTGTGTTCATTTTAAATACAGTTGTATTGGTATTCTTTCGTTTTGTTATACGTTCAACATGGTATTAGCTGCGTCATGTTTAGACGTGAAAATGTTTGCTTGATATAAAGCTAAAAGTCGAAAGGATTGACTTCATTGCACCGGGTTTTATCCCACATCGCTCGGTCTCTGTTCTTTCCGCCGAGCAGCTAGTCGCCTTCCGAGAACGCAGCACAGAACACGAACTCCGTAGCTCCGGGGATGATCCCCAAAGGATCTCTGTAAACACTTCACCTTCAGAGCTCGGGGTAAACGGCTTGCCCATTTCGCCACAGAGACCCACTTCCAATTGCTTGATATACCACCTCTGCTTGGATTACAAAGTTGTATGAGTCAAAGTTAGTCACGACACAGCATGCTGTCTTTGTTTACCTCTTTCGAGATCAGAGCCACTGATAAATGTCAGTGTTCGCATAAAAGTATCGCTCCACAACAAGCCGTAATCGCACTGTGTGGAATTATCAATGCCACATTTCCCTTACATCCTAAGGAGAAGGCAGAAGTAAAGTTCTTAAGACAATTGTTTTTTAAAGTCAAAAGTCAAACCTGATGAGCCTTAAACGGGTACAAGCAGCGAACATAAACACAGTTTTATTGGGTGGGGACTCTCCGTCCCAAACAATAACATCTCCTCCTCCTCCTCTTACCATCTTAGTATCGATTTAGTGGGTACCCGACTGCTCTCGGAAAAGTAAAATGAGGTTCAATTTCATTTATTTCATCTACTTGATTTTATATTGTAAAATGTTTGTTATTAGGCAGTATATAAATAATTAGGTGCTTTATTGATATCTTACCTCAAACCGGGGAAATTTACAGGTCATGTGACAGTCTAATATTTCAGGTGGTGGTAGATAGGCTGCATGCAGTCTTGGGACCTAGGCTGTATTTTCTAGTGGGAGGTAGGTGGGTTGTGGTTAGGGCCAGTTCTAGATGTTTTGGGGTCGTTAAATGCATCAGAAAGCCGGGAAACCCAGTCTTACCACCCTCTAAAATGTTGGACTGTCCTGTGACGTCATCTGGAGGTAGGATATTAATAAAGCACTATTTTTGTGTATACCACGTCTTCAATGTATGTTATGTGTTCATGTTGTTGTTCGACCATCATGAGTGATGAAGACCACTTTCATCCAAAGTAGTAATGATCGATGATAATGAGTACGAAGGTGGCTGACAGTCCGGTATGAGCCTGGAAAGTTCTTGAGCAGAGCGGGCAACAGATGGTAGCCACAGAAAGTGTGGGATAAGCATTACGATTCTTTCTCGTCTGCCTCCGTTTCTCTGCCTGTGCAACCTCCGCTGCCTGGCAGGCCGATGCACCATGCCTGAGGGACGTGCGCCATCCAGAACAGTTTTGCGCAGCAGCCTCCCTCGTGCTGTGTTGATTCAATGTATCATATACCAATAACAATAGCACTGATTTATTTTTCCTTTATTGGAAAGGATTAATCATTACCTCTGTATTTATTAAAGGGTCTTTCATTTGGTTTACGTATTATACAGTATACATCCAATGATCAGGAACGGACGGAGTAAGTATACCGAGATACCACTGTAACACTATTTTATTCAGCCCATTATTATTACTACTTTTATTATTAGTTATAATTATTTATAATTATTAGTAAGCTATTTAACAAGGATTAGACCTCTTGAGGACCCCTATGAAATGTACAGGGGCGTGGAGTTCTCCCCCCCCCCCCCCACCTGTTTTACTTTTTGTCATCGCGCCTGAAGCCTGCATACAAGCAGGCAGAACATTAGTACCAACAGCGGTCACATAATAAGGTTGATTTTATTCCGTTTTTTTGCATAAAGGTGGCCCGTTGCAGTTGATGTCGTGAAGTGTCGTACTTTCCCATATTCTTTCCATACCAGGGGACCTCCAGGGGGGAGAGGAACCATTTCACACGCCTTTAGACGTACTGGGCAGATAAGGCTAGACCTATATTTTGTAGACCAATCAGCACTCGCTGGGTGATGTGGTCAACTTATCGCCAGTCGCCATTACTTAGTACCCATTTAAGGCTAAGTAAACCTGGGAACTAAAGTTCATTTCCGTCAGGATCTGAACCAAAAGATCTTCACATCCGCAGGTGAGTGTCTTGTCACTAAACTGCAGCCGCTCTATTTAGAAAATAAGTTGCTTTATTAATCTCCTACCCCAAACAGGAAAAATCCACGGATCACGGGACAGTCTAATATTTCAGGGGGTGGTAGATAGGCTGCATGCAGTCGTGGGACCTAGGCTGCACTCTCTCGTGGGACGTAGGTGGGTTCGGGTTAGGGCTAGTTCTAGATGGTTTGGGGTCGTTAAAAGCATAAGAAAGCCAGGAAACCCTGTCTTACCACTCTCTAAGATGTTGGACTGTCCTGTGACGTCATCTGGGGTAGGATATTAATACAGAACCCAAATAAGACATCCAAGAAATATGCACCTCAGCACCACAGATTAGGTAGGGGGTATAGTTATAATCACACTTATCTGGGAGTGCAAGGGACTGACCAGCGGGCGCTGCAGAATCAAACATTCAACAATTGGTTCTTGACAACACCCATCCCTGTGTGGGTTCAGGGCTTCCATTGTAGGGGAAAGCATTAATAGACCCACTGCCTCCCTAACAAGCATGTCGTAAAAGTCGACTAATTTGGGGTTTCGGAGTGCATCTGTCCTAGAGGCAAGGAACCAACAGTCTGCACACAAACAACATCAGATCTGTAAAACAGATGTGCACTCATGTTCTGAAACAAGTCTTAAAGTCCAGAGGTCGGTGATTAACCCGAACTTTTCGCTGCAGTTTACAGTCAGTGAACGCAAAGAAGAAGAAGAAAACACAGCTGATATGATTTATCTACACATATGGCTGTAAGGTGAGATGCGGTAAAATTGCTCAGAGGTTAATGTCAAACACAAACTGACGACCTTTAGTGCGAGAAAGCTTGGCAAATGACACAACAACTAGTTTGAGAATGGAGGTGGAGGTTATCACTGCAGCCTTTCCCTGACGTGATATTCAGCTGCACATACTGTCTTGACAGTAACAGACTCATAAAGCATGCTGAGAGAGGTGGAGACTGGTATGCTCCATTGCAGAGTAGTAAACATCGTTTCAGAAATCCCGAAGTTATAGTCATTTAGATGTTTTCTCCAGGTCATTCAGAAGTGTTGGAAACGAACAGGTAGACAGACTGATTAGTACTTCCCCACTTGGTGGTAAACTGATGTGCATGACAAGCTAGATGTTGTCAATGCCTTTGGGAGCCAGTGTACAGAAGCCCTCACAGGTCATAACAGTCTGAAAATGGTGCAGAAGGAAGTTACCAAGGGAATCTGGCTTACAGTCAAGACTCAGAGGAAGACGGTGTAGAGATCATGACTATGCAGACCTACAAACACTTGGAGTTAGCATGTGGAAAGAAAGGACAAATCTTAGAGATAAATGAAGGCAGCAATGAACCTTAGTTGCTAAAAATGTGGGAAAAGAAGAACAAGAAGTAGAAGAAAATATCCATGTATGAAGTTACTGTAAATATCGTTAACTACCCATTTAGAGCCATTCTCCATCCATCCATACCTTTCATGCAGGCAGTTACTTCTGTATATTTAACATTCCATTTATTTAACCTTCCTTGCAAGCAGTCACCCTCCATATATTTACTGTTCAATGCAAACAGTCTCCCTCCAAATATTTAACCTTCCATGCAAGCAGTTACCCTCCGGAAATGTAACCTTTCATGCTAGCAGTTATCCTCCGATTATTTAACCTTCCACGCAAGCAGTTACCCTACATTGACTTAACCTTCTATGCAAGAAGTTACCCTCTAAATATTTAACCTTCCATGCAAGAAGTTACCCTCCATATATTTAACCTTCCATGTAAGCAGTTACCCTCTGGAAATGTAACCTTTCATGCTAGCAGTTACCCTCCGAAAATGTAACCTTCCATGCAAGCAGTTACCCTCCAGAAATGTAACCTACCATGCAAGCAGTTACCTCCATATATTTAACCTTCCATGCAAGCAGTTACCCTCCGGAAATGTAACCTTCCATGCAAGCAGTTACCCTCCAGAAATGTAACCTTCCATGCAAGCAGTTACCCTCCGGAAATGTAACCTTTCATGCTAGCAGTTATCCTCCGATTATTTAACCTTCCACGCAAGCAGTTACCCTACATAGACTTAACCTTCTATGCAAGAAGTCACCCTCCAAATATTTAACCTTCCATGCAAGAAGTTACCCTCCATATATTTAACCTTCCATGCAAGCAGTTACCCTCCGGAAATGTAACCTTTCATGCTAGCAGTTATCCTCCGATTATTTAACCTTCCACGCAAGCAGTTACCCTACATAGACTTAACCTTCTATGCAAGAAGTCACCCTCCAAATATTTAACCTTCCATGCAAGAAGTTACCCTCCATATATTTAACCTTCCATGCAAGCAGTTACCCTCCATATTTATTTAACCTTCCATGCAAGCAGTCACCCTCCATATATTTAACCTTCCATGCAAGCAGTTACTCTCTATATTTATTTAACCTTCCATGCAAGCAGTCACCCTCCATATATTTAACCTTCCATGCAAGCAGTTACCCTACATAGATTTAACATCTCCCATGTAAGTGCCCAGCCTTTAAATCTGTAACTTTATATCAAATAGCCAGTCCGTATCTTTAACTTTCCATATCAGTTCTTCTCCCTATCCGTAACCTTTTTAAAAAGAAGCCATACTGCAAACATTCAGCTGCAGATAGAAATAACTAGCTTCATATTCTGATTAATTAAGCAGCCACACACATACTTTACTTTCCTCAGAAGCACTTTCTGTCAAAATGGAAATCATAACTTGGAAATTATAAAATAAAGCATGTAAATTCCAGTTACTATTCTGATGTTTTTTTTCTTCTTCATCTTGGGTTAGATCAACATCTAGTCATGTTTTTTAAATAAACTGACCTTGGCTCCCAAGTCAACCCATCTTAAAACTGGTACCAGGCAATGTCCTGGGAAGAAAAGTACCTGGTATGATGCTGACCATATCATCCATTGAGTGTCGATAGGTCTATACAAAAATAAATCCTTTACCTGATGCACCACTGACGTAAAAAGGGTCCCTGAATTACTTTTTTAGTCTTCAGACAACTCACTCTCATCAACAACAAGCAAACAGTTTTTACTTGTTTTATATTTCATTATGAACACAGAAAGGCAGCACTGATTACCACACATCAAGTAAGCATCAACTCAACAAATGGAAGAATGTCAGTGGCAGTCAAGTGGCAATGTTGTTTCGATAAAATGATTATCACTAATCCCAGCTGCTCTGAGAAGCCACAAACCATGCATTTCTGACTGTAAATCAATCCTGTAAATGCTGCTCACCCTTTACTTCTGCTGTGTTCTGTCCATGAAAAGCTTAGTTAATGGTTTGAGGTGATTTTTGTGCCTGTTCAGTGCTTAGGAGGCCCAAAGTTGAATATATTTACTTTCTTTTTTAAAAGGGGAGTTTTGGTGAATAAAATGGCTCAAAAAAATTATGCGTCTCAATGTCATATGCAATTCTTTGCCCCCATATAGCTGTTGCCAGGGGCCCTAATATAACCTAACCTATGGGTTGAACAGGGTTTCTGGATCCTATCCCTGGGTGATCCTCATCCGAATGGTGGCACTTTGTGTCTCCACGTGTTTATCGCTTAGTGTGACGTCCTGGTGGGGTAAATGTCAGTCAATATAATGGCTTTTTCAAAGCCACAGTGATGACATAATGTTGCTGTAGCCTCCAGAGTTAACCTACCCACTCCTACTGCTTGTCTAGTCATCAGTTGCTGCCCTTGTCTCCTCATGTCCAAGTTATTACTTTATTAAAAACAGCCAGCAAAGTATATTTCTAAATAAATTTTTTCAAGAAGAAAGGTGAGAAGAAGAAAACCATTAAAAGAAGAAACTAGTGTCATTATTTCAATACTATTTCTTATGTCAAAGAAAGAGGGCTGTGAAAGGACTGATAATAATTAGTCAAGTAATTGCAACACAGAAACATGGACAACAACTAAAGCAGTTACTAATAAACTACAAACATTCATTAACTGGTGCCTGTGCAGAATAGAGGGAATTAAGTACTTTGATAGAATCACGAATGTAGAGCTTTGGGAGAAAACTGAACAAGTTCCAGTGGACCGAGAGGTGAAGAAAAGAAGCTGGCTTTAGATGGGAAACAAACACTGAGAAAACCTGAGAACCGTATAACTAGAATGTCTATGCACTGGAACCCACAAAGGGCATAGGGAAATAGGAAGACAAATAAAAAAAAAACATGGAGAAGAGAGCTAGAGTGTGAAGTTAAAAAGATGGAGAGGACATGGAAAGAGTCGCATGCAACAGCAAAGGATAGAACGACTTGGCGTGAGTTGGTTAATGGCCTATGCTCCATTTAGAGTTAGAAAGACACAGAAAAATTAAAGCAGGCAAAGCTTCCAAACAATTACCTAAAAAACAGACTACAAATAACTTATGTAACTGCACCCGAATAAATTCAAAAGGAACCAGAATTTAAGAGAGAAAATTTGGTAACAGAATCCCTTCTAAACAAAATTTGTTAACAAAACACAGACTCTTTGTCTTGAGGCCTCAGAGACTTGGTTACACAGAAGAGTGTTTACAATTCCTTGGCCAGCCAAAGTGAGTAATCTAGATGCACTGATAGAGACCAAAATCCAGGATAACTTAACACGAACATAATAAAGAGACCGTCATCATTTTGTGGTCAAGTTTTAATCAGAAATAAACTGGTACATATGACAAATTAAAAGATTCATGAAAAGAGAGAAAGAGGGAGACAATATGAGTGATTCTCGATAACCTTTTGTCATAGCGTAGTGTCAGCATGTGAAGTGATACACACATAGAGATCACAAATTGTGGAGAGGCATGATCACCCACGCCAACTGACAAGGATCTTGATGATGATGATGAAGTCGATGATGTTCACATAAATATAACAAATACAGAGACACACAAATGACACCAAATCTGAAAACTAAAGTAAAAATATGTTTCAAGTAGTGTTAAACAGTAGACAAAAATATACAATATTGTACTCATTAACTAAAAATACCTATAGTTCAAACTCAAGCCTTTTATATGTGTTTGACAGAAATAATTAGTTTAGTTTGTTTTTAAAACAATAATTCCAATGTTTAACTGTTTAATGACCTGAAATGCCAAATATATATGGTATTCAACACTGCAATGTTAGGAAATCTGCCGGACGAGATCCAGACAAATCCAGGAATCAGTTATATGTACTCTATTTGCGATGGCTTTACATAAACGTTATAAAGATGAACAGACTCTATAAATATTGAAGGGATTCTTGTTGCTGACAAACATGATTTCCTTCTTTCCTTCCTCAGTTTTGCCTAGAGAGAAAAAGACACATAATTAATAATTACAAAGTTTAAGGTTTGAACAACGGATCAACATCATGGCACACGAAGCTCAGCACAGTGCACAAGCTCTGTAGCACCGACGAGGATCCTGAAATACTTTGGGTAGGTTTTTAACTCCAAATGTTGCAGCACCATTAGCCTACTCTTTTCGATTTTCAACTGCCAGGGGATTTTTTTACGTGCACAACATAAGTTGCATTTGCTAAAAATTATAATTTTGCCACACTGGATTTAAGAATAAAATTGGCCATCTTTATTTCTTTTTGATTGGTTTTGGTTAGTTGTCATGTGGTCCTTGAAAATATTTCCCCTTGTTTTGTAGGTCCATTCAAGAAAACTGATATCTAAGTCATAATCCTAAGTTAACTAAATAAATGCAAGAAGAAAATAGCGAAAGAGGTGAGGGGACAATATCGGGAAATGGGCTGGAAAAATCAGACAACATTAAAAAAAACTGTAAGGCAGAGAAATGTTAGACTTATCACAGTTGACCTTCAGTGTGAAGATTCCTGTGGGTCCTGGGGTCCAGCTGAGGGGCTTGGGTAGGGGGACCGACCCACTACCTCCCTATCAAGCATGTCGCAAAAGGGCACCCAGTTAGGGATTATTTCCTCCGGGTTCAGGAGGATTCATCTGTCTGAAATGTGAGGAACCAGCAGTCTGCATATAAATAAGTAGATCTGTAAATTGGATGTGCATGCAAAATTCAAGTTCTAGAAGAAGATTAAAGTCTAGAAGTGGATGAACAACCATAACTTTCCACCAGAGTTTACAGTCCATGAAGGCTAAGAAGCGAAAGTGTGGAGATGCATGGGATCTCAGAAACTGCAAAATGCATCATACCACCATCTGTGTAATACCAGGATTCATAAGAGAAGCAAAGAACAAGAACACTAATCTGCCAGGTATGTCATGAGAAGTGACTAAGGAGAGTTAACATGATACTGGCTGGCTCAACTCACAGTCAGCTTTAGCTGCAAAATCCAGCCAATCATGAACAGGCAAGTCTACTCCTTCTTAATGTTCACAGCTGTAAACTCTGGCAGCAAGTTCTTTGTTATTTGTCTACTTCTGGACTTTCTTTGCTCCTGTTCCAGAATTGAGTTTTGCATGCATATCTGTTTTACATATCTGGCTTATCTGTATGCAGACTGCTGGTTCCTACCCTTCAAAGGAAACACTCCTAATTGCCTTTTATGACATGCCTGTTAGGGTGGGTCTATTCTTGTCCCCCCCCCCCCCCCCCTCCCAAATCCATAGAGAGCAAAATAATTCAGCTATCTGCTACAGGCTATGTGATTCGGGTTGCTACAGCAGATGCTAGATTCGTGGGGACCGCAGCTGAAACTACAGAGTTTGTGCTTTGTCCTATACTCTTGTTTTACATCAGCCGCTCTAAAATTAGTTACCAAGCCACGGGATATTAAACCTTAAAAAAAAAAAACTGACCCTTTTGCTTTTAATTACAAGATGTGATATGAGTGTGGCTGAGGCCTTTGATCCACAGAATCTTAAAAGACAGAAGAAGATCTCATTGCAAATTGTGTTTTTCATACAGTAATGTGTTCCATTTTGTAAAAAAAAAAAAAACTGTGGGCTTACCATAATCATGTTGGATCCAGTTGCGATCTATGTAATAGTCAATGTTGCTGAGGGCTTCTTTTTCAGAATATTCTGGCACCAAAATTGGCACAAATGGATCCAGAAATTCAAAGCCCTGAAATATCCACACACAAAAATGTTGATTTTGCAATTCTTCAAGTCAAAGAAAATTTTGGAAAATATTACAACAAAAAGGGTAACATCAATTAAAAAAAACATGAGGTATTACTTTCCTAGCAGGTCTGTGGCTTAGAAGCTAGTGAACGAGTTTAACAATTTTATTATCCTTAAGTACTAGAATTTGATTTTTGCAGTGGGTGGTTTTTTTTTTTAAAAACAAGTTGTTTGCAAGGTTTCTAGACAATGGTATAATAGTCACCACCATGGTAGAAACTGGGGCCTCACTGTGTAATATTCCTAAAGACACTGTGGCCAGCCTTCACTGTAGAGATGGTACAAAATGTGTCATATTTACTGCATTACTTTCACACAGGAATATACTATCCTGTATCCTGAAGAATGGAGCCAGATTTCTTTAGTATGTTGAGACTGAAAGTGATAGCAAAGATTAACACAAGATGTGTTGATGGATTAGCTGGGCAGTGTGGCTCACCGCCTCTGTATACTGCTTGGAACAGAAAGAATTTAGGCAAGAAACTGTCATCAGGCTAAAGCAGATTCACTGACATGTTCTAAGGCAGGTCCTGAGAATGAATACATCCAATGACAGGTCCTGAGAATGAACACATCCAATGACAGAGGTCCTGAGAATGAATACATCCAATGACAGGTCCTGAGAGTGAATACATCCAATGACAGGTCCTGAGAATGAACACATCCAATGACAGGTCCTGAGAATGAATACATCCAACAACAGGTCCTGAGAGTGAATACATCCAATGACAGGTCCTGAGAATGAATACATCCAATGACAGGTCCTGAGAATGAACACATCCAATGACAGGTCCTGAGAATGAATACATCCAATGACAGGTCCTGAGGGTGAATACATCCAATGACAGGTCCTGAGAATGAACACATCCAATGACAGGTCCTGAGAGTGAATACATCCAATGACAGGTCCTGAGAATGAACACATCCAATGACAGGTCCTGAGAATGAACACATCCAATGACAGGTCCTGAGAGTGAATACATCTAATGACAGGTCCTGAGAATGAATACATCCAATGACAGGTCCTGAGAATGAACACATCCAATGACAGGTCCTGAGAATGAACACATCCAATGACAGGTCCTGAGGGTGAATACATCCAATGACAGGTCCTGAGGGTGAATACATCTAATGACAGGTCCTGAGAGTGACTACATTCAATGACAGGTCCTGAGAATGAACACATCCAAAAACACGCCTGAAAATGAACACATTTGAAAACTGGTCCTCAGAACAAATACATTCAATGACAGGGCCTAAAAATAAATACATCCAATGACAGGGCCTGAGAGTGAGCATATCCAAAAACAGGTCCTGAGAATAAATACATTTAGTTACAGGTCCTGAGAATGAATACATTCAATGACTTGTGAGAGTGAGCATTTCTAGAGACAGGTCCTGAGAATGAACATATCCAAAGACAGGCTTGAAACTGAATACATTCAATGAGAGGTCCTGAGAAAAAACATGTCTGATGTCCTGTCTTGAGAATGAATACATTAAGTGACGGCAAGCATTTAATAACAGGTACTGCAGGCCTGTCCAATATACATACACCTATGAAGAGAAACTTGTCATGTACAGCAAAGTGTGCACAGCAACCTATGGTAAACCATGGAGGATCTGTTACTGACACAGGAGTTCACAGAGGCAGCCAACCTGATGGTTTGACCTGAGCAGATGAAACCGAATGCCAAGAAGAAGAAGATACATTCAATGAAGGCATGCATTCAATGACAGGCCCTGAGAATAAAAACATTCAATCAGTCCTGAGAATGAACCCTGATATAAGATGCAAAATGAGTGAAATATAGTTAAGCTCTCAAAATAAAAAAGGAAAAATAAAAATCTACCAGAACAAAGCAGGAAAAAAAAAGAACACTTGTGTACTTCTCAAACACATCACACATATACAAAAATACACTGTAAATTGCAACATTTCAAGCACTAAAACAAAATTTCTAAAGCTAGGAGTAGGCGTACACAGCTAGTATAAAATGCAAACCTTTACCACCTGGTTGTAAACAAGAGGGACATCACTCCTAATGAGCACAGTACACCACGTACCATACCCTCAGCTGACCACCACATCCCACTAAAACTTGTGTTTGGTGAATATATTTGGCACATTAACATACAAATTATACAATATAAAGACAAATTCAGTATTCTATACCATCAGTTAGCTGATACTGAAATAAGGACCATCATCCACAAGCACACTTGACCAGGTGACATAATCATCTACACAGATGGCTCAGTGATTTGGGGAGTAATATCTGGGTAGGCATAAACAGCACAGACGAATGGGAAGACACTAAAAGAAGAAAGTCAGGCAATGCATTAGTTCAACAACTTCTAGTATTAACAATGGAGATAGCAGCTGTCCCAGAGACACTTTGCATGGCTACTGGAACAGAAAGCAACACACACTGACAGTGACAGACTTATAAGCATGCTTAAGAAATTCAAACTGGCAAACTCCAACTAGAATGGGTTGACAGCATCCAGAAGTCCCACCTCAAGAAACTTGGCTGCAAACACTGGGATAGGCCAGGTGAAAGGAAATGAAACAGCCAACAAACTGACCATGTCTGCAGTGGTTGGTGAAGGAAGAAGTATGGGCATGGCAGACATACAGAATGTGCTGCATTCTAGAGACTCTGAGACAAAGGAATCACAGACAATGAAACTACCTGCTGGGAATGGGTACTAAATGAGGACAAGCATGCGAGGCAAAGAAAGATATGGCAATCAACTCCTAATGGGTACGCTCAGCATGAAGACAGTGACATGGCTGCTTCATCGGAGGACGATGCACGAATGAGTTGGACGGATGTGCTAGGATATGAAAATGGACAACAAGCAACAAGTATTATCACTCAGCCGGTCTTTAACAGACCATCAATCTCATCACAGCAAGCCTGAAAGTCTGTCTTTCTCTAGCCAATTCTTTAGCCTTTATTGTTTTTAAAAGCCGAAAGGCACCTTTTATGTACTGGATTCACATTCTGTCTAGCTTTCAATCTATAGCATAATGTATACTATTCACTAACACATAAAGAAACAGGGTTGTGAATACCAGCATTTGAGAGAAAGTGGATTAAGACCATGTCTGGATTATACTGACAAAGATTGAAATGGTTCAGCATCTAGTGAGAATGTAGCCAAACCTGTACATGAGACTTTTTACAGCAGAACATCTATGAGGAAGGCGAGAGGAAGACCAAGAATAATACGCATAAATGGTGTGTCTGAAATCTGCAAAAAAGATGAACTAATCCATCACTCAAGCCACCTAAGAAGTGCAAGACGACTACAGAAAACCATGACACTGAGCTACAACCTGGTATCAGTGAGATGACATGAGAAAGAGGAAGAAAGAAGAATGTATACTATATAGAGAATAATACTGGACAGCTGGTAAACAAGCCGAACAATATCTTGAGGCCTCAGAGATATGGTTTTACAGAAGAATCCTTAATTAAGAAGAGCAACCCAGATGTTTTGAAAGAGGCGAGCGCTCGATTACAACTTATCAAAAACAACAGAAAGAGACCGTCATAAATTTTTTGTCAGGTTATGAGAAGAGGGAAACAGAATATGTTGTGACAACTGGAAAGATCTGTGGAAAGACAGACAGAATAAGACAGCACAAGAAAATTCTTGACAGCCTTTTGTCATGGCATGGAAGGGTGTCAGCACATGAATTGATATACAGTCGCGGACTGTAGAGAAGCATGCTACTTGTCAGCAAGGTACTTGATGTTAATGATGATAATACTCAGAATAACATACTTTTGCTGGAAAGCCTGAGCTTTAGCTACTGACAGACAACCATAGTTTAGGGGTCAACCTATACTACTGGCATAGGCATAGCAGATTATTTTGAGCCAAAAATATGTGTTTGCCTTTAGAAGAGAGATAGGTACACTGTGCTGTGGCTTACAGCCAGGCTGCGATATAAGTGTCTTTTGGCCTAACACATTCTATTTCAAGCCAGGCCATGAATAAATCATAGACACTCAATACCTATTATCTATGAGCCGCAACATGCAAGATGGAAACTGCAAACTTCAACCCATTTTTTAAAAACTATTTACTAACCTCTTTTCCAAGTAAATACAGTGGTGTGTATTTTTCTCTTTGTGTTTCCATATTGACTACCTCACTCACAGTACAAACTACAACACCATGTGTCTGACAGTGCAGAGAAAACAAACACAACACACATGATAATACATCACATCATCAATTCTCATGAATAAGTAGTTATGAATGAATCGATCAAGAATTATAACATAATATTCTGGACATTCCCATTTGTTCTGTCTTCTTCCTCTGTAATCAAGGAAGAAGAATTCTCAAACTAATGGTGCCAGTTTCCTCCTCTCTTTCTTTTTCTTCTTGTTCTTTTTCTTCTTCTTTTTTTTTTCTTTTTCTCTAGTCCTGTTCTGCCTTTAAGTGTCAGGTTTTGAAGAGGCATCAGTTACAAGCCTTGGTATGTGCTATATAGATGCCGGTATTTACAGCCTCAGATACTCCATCTCTCCATCACTTGCATAGTCCACCTAAAGGTTTGCTTCCACTGTGTCTTAGTAACACGGCTCTCTACGGTGCACCATCTGGTGGCAGTCTTGACATACAACCAAACTTTTTGATCAGTTGGATCCCATGGATCTCTTCCCAGCAGGTGAGCTAAAACCCTGTTGGAAGGCAAGTGCTGAGCCGCTTATATACCGCAGCTCCCATGAATCAGGTTAATCAGTTATAAATCAACTTGTGACAGGCCCCTTGGTACCAAAAAGGTTAATGTATTGATATTCTGTATATTGTGCTGCACTGATCACTTGATCCCAGGGAGCTTTTGTCAGCCTGCCATATCATAAAGCAGCTTGTTGCTCCTATGGGCTCCTATGATATCTGAGTATCTATCAACTGATCATAGCCTCGTACACCTGCCCTTTCTGAGCATGAAATCATATGTTCCAGAACTGTGTCATCATATGTTCCAGAACTGTGTCATCATATGATGCAAGTCGCTGCGCAGGAGACTAAGTGCTTGTGGGGGAACATCAATCTGATTAAAAAAATGAAAGCTTAATAACTGATCGGGCCATCTGAAAAAGCATTTCTTCACAAAGAAAACTATTTCAGCCCTATAAACTCTTGATGCTATGAGAAGCCAACTTCCAGTAGTCGGTGTACAGGATCTTAAATGGAACTGATTACTCCTGTCTGACTTTATGATTAAAGGAGTTTTCACAATTTTTGAGCTGTAGCAAAAATAATTGTTACATTTAAACTTTTGTGAACTAAAATAATCTATGTTTTGCAGTGTTTGTGAGAGAGAGATATGCATATTTTCTGAGATTCTGTGATGGTAGGAGAGTATCACACACACACACACACAAACACAGAGAGAGAAATAAAAAAGAGAGGGGGGGGGTGGGGGGGGGGAAGAGAGACTCCAATTAATCAAAAAGCAGAGAAGTTAGTGATGCTGGATGTGACAAACCTTTAGAAAGTATAAAATCAGACATTATTATAATACTAATAACCTCCTTGTACCAAAACCCAAGGGTCACATAAATAAAAGGAGACCACATAACAAATACCAACACACTCATGAATATGAGAAAGACATGAACAGCTCTCATGAATATGAGAAAAAGATGAACAGCTGGCATTAATATCTGAAAGACAGCTTTCATGAATAAGAAAAAGAACAGCATGGGAAAGATTTGGCAACTCTCATAAATGTGAAACAGATAACTGACCTGAGCTAGTTGACTGGCTATTCGACAAGTAAAATATTTTATAAGAGGCACAATTCTTGATTCCCTGTAATGTTTTTTTTTTTTAATTCACTTCCTTAGCGCTACATTAGTGATTCTATCCCGCCTTCTATTCTGAGCAGGCACACAATAATGAATGTTTGTAATTGTTGGCATCTGGCTATCTTACTCCTTCCTTCACCAAGTGTAAACTCCAGTGAAAAGTCCTGGTTGTTCATCACTTCGGACATGACTTTCTGCCAGGGCCTGAGTTTTGCATGTACACCAGTTTTACTGACTTATTTGTGTGCAGTTGGTCATTACCTGCTACTCTGGCTGATGCACTCTAACTTCGAAGGAAGCTCCCAATTAGTCAACACCTACGACATGCTTGTTGGGGAGGCAGTGGGTCTATTCTTGTTTTCCCCCACAATGGGGCTCTGGAACCCACACGAGGATATCTATCTTTCAAGACAATAGTGTTATATTGTGCTACAAAGAGGCACAGGAATCACACAGACCATGGCAAGTATGACAATGAAAAACTGCTCATTTTTAGAAAAATCTTCTACAATTATAACAGGGAATTCAGCAACATATTGAACATGCTTCTTCTCAGACGTGAGCTCTCAACCTATCTGCAATCATTTTCTCCTTCATCCCTATTCTGTTGCTGATTTCCCTATCCATGCAGCATGGTCTATAGCATCCTGCTCTCATTAATCTACCTCAATATCTATATTATTCTTGCCCCACTTGCACACATCTTTACATCGTGGTAGAGGCCAACCTCGACATCTGCTCAGCGGTGATTCACCAGAGATGATGTCCTTAGAGACTATCCCTATCTTCAAAGTATGTCCTAAACTTTTAAGCCAGTAACACTTACCCATGTTGGACTAAGCATTTTTTTAAAATTATGAATGATGGTCATTTCCTCAGGCTCTATCTGCAGAAAAAGAAATACATTAAAGTGCATCAGTTTCATTTATAAAGGATCATGAGACATACCTAAAGATGTGACTTGCTGGGCTGTTAGCATGCTTGAGTCTCATAACAGAGATCCAGAGTTGAATCATCTGTAAGATTAAGGCAGTTTTTTTCTGCTGTCTGCAACAATAACATTCCTAAATTCCAGACCTGCACAATTCATCCACCTGCCATGCAGCCTTAATTGCTAAGGTTCTGACTCATCTGTCCTATACTGCCCCAACTTAGCACTTTACTCTCCACGTGTTTTTGGTTTTCCTTTACTTCTATGCCCCTGTAGGTTCTAGTGCAAAAACATTCTAGTTATACTGTTTTCAGCTTTTTGCCAGCATCTTTTTTTTCCACCTCCTAGTCCACTGGAACTTGTTTAGTTCTCTCCCAAAGCTCTACATTATTAATTATATCATACCATTTAATTCCCTCTATTCTGTGCAAGAACTGGTTAATGAATGTTTGTAGTTTATTATTAACTGCCTTAGTTGCTCTCCATGCTTCTGCTCCATACCACAGTACTGATTTGACACTAGAATTAAAATTTTTTTTAGTTTAGTAATAGTTTTAATTTCTTTTGACCTCCACAAATTTCCTAGTACTGTGAAAGCTCCTCTTGCCTTTCTGTATTTGTATTTTAATATCCCTATCAGTTGGCCTATCTTTATCTACATTACTGCCCAAAACAAATGTATGACTTTACATTGAGAAAAACCAAATTACTATTTGCCTAATTTATTCTCATTATCTTTGTCTTTCCCTTATGGATTTTCAGACCTAGCTATTGTGGTCTCACATTAAGTATATTCTATTTATCTTGCATATGATTCCATGAGTGGGACTGAAGAGAAATAAGTCCAGATCATCAAGCTGTTTTGTAGAGGTCCACTGAACTCCATTCTTGGTGTTAGCAGTTGCTGTCTTCATAATCCAATCTATTGCCAGTAAAAATAGGAGAGGCGACAAAAGACATACCTGTCACACATGTTTTTATTTCAAATGTATCTGTTACCTTTCCTTCATGAAGAACTCGACATTTCATGTCTTTGTATGTTGCTTTTACTAAGTTAGGAAATTTCTGTGGGATTCCATAGTGCCACATTAATTTCCAGAGATATTTCTATACATGCTGTCAAAAGCTTTTTCACACTCTATCAATCCAATGTAAAGTGGTGAATATAGTTCAATGCTTTTCTAGATTACTTTATGCAATGTAGCTATCTGGTCAGTGCAGGATTAGTTTAGCCAAAAACCTGCCTGTTCACCAGCGTTTTATCGACAGCATCTTTTAGTCTTTCCAAAACATTCCTACTTAATATTTTACCAGGAGCTGTCAGCAACATAAATCCTCTATAGTTTTCACACTCCTATAGATCACATTTTATGAGCAGTTTCACAAGATTTCCTTCTCTCCAGTCTGCTGGTATTTCTTAGATCTCCTAGACTTTACTAAATAATCTATGGAGCAATTCTGTTAATGTGTTTATGTTGCCCATAATAACTTTTGCTGGGATACAATTCCTTCCTTCAGAAGATTGATAGCTTTTCTAATTTCCTCTTTAGATGGTATCTCATATTTGAAATCCAGTTCCATTTCTATAGGCTGGATTTCTGGAAGAACCTCTGGGACTGGTCTGTTTAGAAGTATTTCAAAATATTCAACCCATCTGACCATTTTATCTTTAGTGTTAGTGAGTACCTCTCCTTGACTATTTTTGATTAATCCAGCTAGCCGACTATATTTACCTACTAATTTCCTTGTGTTACTGTAAAGGTCTCTGAGGTTTCCTTTTGCTGCTGCTGTCTCTATTTCCTGTGCTAGGTCATCTAAATATTTCACATTATCTTCCTTAATATGCCTTCTAACTTCCTTATTGGCTTCTGTGTATTTTTCCTGAGCTCTAGCTTTAGCAGCTCTAGTGCTGCTATTGTTTTAGTATGCCTTTTTATTTTTCCTTTCTTGAATCATTTTAATGATTACTGGTGTTGTCCACGCTTTATGTTTCCGTTCTTTCTTACCAAGGACTTCTACACAAGATTTACTCCAAATTCCCTTGATCTGATCCCAGAAAACTATAGTGCTTACATCTTTGCCTAACTGCCGCAACACCTGGTATTTATTAGAGACTGCTACTAAAAATTGTTCCTTAACTTCTTTATCCCTAAATTAACCTACATTATACTGGTTTCTATAATTATGAGATGTTATATATCTTCTAAGTTTCAACTTGACTTTACTTACCAACAGAAAATGGTAAGTAAATACATCAGCACCCCTGAAAGCTCTAACATCATAAAGAGATGATCTAAACTTTTTGTTAATACACAGCTGATCAATTTGATTGGTTGTCTTATGGTCTGAAGATTCCCACGTTTCCTTGTGTATTTTTTTATGGGAGAAAATGCTTTTAACAGTAACATATTGGTTTCCTGCACAAACACTTTATTTTCATTCATTAGGCCTAGTTCATGTTTTCCCATAATCTCTTCATAACCTGTGTTATCTGATCTTACAATGTACAACAGCAAATCATAAGATATGTGGAATTTTTAAGAAATCAGCACAGCGCTATCATACCTTCTTCTTTTCTGCATTCCTCAAGGTATTAACATGGTCCCACTCCACAAAGAAAGCATTCACTGATGAAATAGCCACAAACACTTTCAATCTGTAAAGATATAGCACTGACCGGTAAAACAGTGACAAACACTTTCAATCGGTGAATACACACTTCTGACTGTTGAAACAGACTTTAACACTTTCAGTCTGATTTAAACACTCTCAATCTGTAAAGAAACAGTTTTGTTTGTTGAAACAGATATAAACACTTTTAATCTGTGAAGACGCAGGATTGACTGACGAAAAAGACAAACACTTTCAATCTGTGAATACACAGTATTGACTGATAAAACAGGCACACTTCCAATTTGTGATGACACAGTAAAGTCTAATAATTTTTTTTTTAAAGACACAAACATTTTCAGTAATTGAAAACGCAGCATTCTTCTTCTTCTGCATTTGTCAATAAAAGGTCTGTTAGTACATTGTGTTGTGGTTTACAGATAAGCTGGGATATCTGCATCTTTCAGCCCAACATATCCAACTTCAGAAAACACCTAATTAGTTGTCTTTTATGACACCCTTGTACAGGGGCTGTGAGCCTATGCTCCACTGGGGGCAATGAGTCTGTTCCTTCCACCCCCCCCCCCCCCCTTCCCTTTCCTGAGAGCCTGAGGACCCACTAGGAAAAAGACCTAGCATTGACTGATGAAGCAGAAACAAGCATTTTCAACACACAATTCATAGACGAAAAAATCAGGAAAATTTCAGTCTGTGAATGCACAGTATTTATATATTAGTCCCAAAAACAGGAGTCAGATAAAATATCTACCACCACCCCCCCCCCCCCCCATTAAAAATAGGCGTCTTTTAATATATTCCCCATTATATTTTGTTTGACCACAAAATAATGTGCCTTTCAATATCTTCCCCATTATATTTTGTTTGACCACAAAATATGTGCCTTTCAATATCTTCCCCATTATGTTTTGTTTGACCACAAAAATAGGTGTCTGGCACTATACTATACCCCTTAATGTGTCTCGAAGGCAAGGAAACAGGATTATATTACCTGCCTCAGTAGATAACATTTTTTTATACTTCGCATCCACTAGTTGTAAACTATGTTGGAAGGTTCTGCTTGTTTGTCCACTTCTGCACTCGTCTTTTTCCAGAAACCGAGTGTTGCATGCACATACGTTTCACAGATCTGACTTATCCGCATGCAAACTTTTGGTTCCTTGCCTGTCAGGCAGATGTACTCCAACTTCAAAAGAAGCTCCAAATTAATCAACATTTATGACAAGCTTTTGGGCAGACAGTGGGTCTATTCTTGCTGTCCCCATATTGGGGCCCCGGAACCCACAGAGGAATAATTATGTATTATTAGTGAAGCATCATCATCAAGTGTCATCTTTGCAAAGATTACTATTTTCACAAAGAGTGAATAAAGAAAACACCAACACTTTGCATTTTGCAACTTCACATTGCACTCCAAACAGACTTTTTTTCAGCCCACCTTGATGCTTTCTGATTTACTTATTTAAGAATGGACATCACAGCACATGGAGCATACCCACAGAAGCTCCGTCTCCCACAGCAAATGTCTTAAAGTGTGGACCATAAGGCAACATCAAATTTAATGTTGCTCTGATTATTATTTACATCAGGGCTATTCAACCTAAGTTTCCTCAGGGGCCAGAACTGTGAAAACAGGGATCGTCACGGACCAGAGGTCGCAGCCCCAGCTTAAAAAGATCATTAATACAACCGTCATTATCATCAGGTGCCTTGCTGACTGACTTGGGCGATCATGCTTCTCCACAATCTGCCATCTCCTGCAGCATGTATCAGTTCGTGTGCCGACACACCTCCATGCCATGCAACAAGACTGTCAAGAATCTTCTCTTGTCTTCCTCTATAACTCCTTCCACAGATCTTTCCAGTGGTCACAACTATTTTCCCTCTTCTCATACCATGTCTGAAAAATGATGACTGTCTCCTTCTGATGTCTGTGATAGGTTGTCTTCGGGCTCCCGCCTCTTTCAAAACCTCTTGGTTACTCTTTTTGGGTGTCCAAGGTATTCTAAGCATTCTTCTGTAAAACCACATCTCTGAGGTTTCAAGAGATTGTTTGGCCTGCCTGACAATTGTATTAATACAAAACAACTGGAATGATTTGTGGGCCATCTGCTAGATCTCCGCGGGCCAGATCTGGCCACCAGTTGAACAGCCCTCAGTTACATCTGTATTACTTATCTACTCTACTTAGCCTACAGCAAATGGCTTTTAGCCTTACTTTTTATTTCTTTTTTTTTAATGATGAAAGAATAAAATGCAGCATACCCTTTAGTCTGTGCTTGCTGCCTGAGCTCCTTGAGGACGACTCCAACGCAATCTGATGAGAACTTAATACGAGTCATTCCCTGAAGGAAAACAAAAACAAACACAAAATTAATTACTTTATCATAATGTTAACCCAACTGCAGAGAAGTTGAAACCTCGACTAAGATAATGTAAATAATACTGCACTGTTCTGTCTTGACCATTCACTAATGTATCCAACCATTCTAAAGTGCAACTGTTACTCAGTGGTTTGTGAAATGGTTTCACAATGCAATTCTCAACATGCAGAAAACTTTAGCTGCAAGATCCACAAAGGGATTCTTCAAAGAATTTGATATGATTCTGTTGAGGAGACATGCTCCACGAAAAGAGGAAGTGTAGCAGGACAAACCAATCATAAGGAGCTGATTTAATAAATAAATTATTGGACTAAAGTTGATAATACTTGCCACCCCCCTGTGGGTTTCAGGGAACTATTGTGGGGAAAACAAGAATAGACCCACTGCCTCCCCAAAAGCATGTCGCAAGAGTCGACTAACTGGGGAGCTTCCTTTGAAGTCCGAGTGCATTTGCCTGAGAGGCAAGAAACCAGCAGTCTGCATTCAATTGCAGTCCAGAAGTGGACGAACAACCAGAACTTTACACCAGAGTGTACAGCTGGTGAACGCGAAGAAGAAGAAGAAGTATACCTGCCATTATTATAACTAGACGTCATTGAGAGGAAGTCAATAAGTAAGTCACAAATGGCTGTTTAAACAAAAAAAATACATAACAACTTGAAAACCATTTGTTTCTACACACAGTGTCCTTTCATTTTTCAACATAATTTCCACCAACACTGATGCACTTGTCCCACCATTTTATCAGTCCTCCCAAACCTGCTGCACAGAACTGCATGTTCTGTTTTCTAAACCACATTTTCACTTCACATTCATCTTCTGCATCATTTGCAAAAAGTTTCTCAACCAAAGTGAGTTTTCAGTGGACCAGAAAGGTGAAAACTGAGAGGGGGGCTAAGTGGGGGCTGGAAGGTTGATGTTCCAGAAGTTCCCACCCTAGATGGTTAATTTTCTCCTGAGTTAACCGAGCCAGTGTCTGGCATTGTCATGAAGGAGCAGTACTCCTCTAGTGAGCAGCCCTGGATTTTTCTTCGCATTGCATCGTAAAGCATCAATTGAACTTTATTGTATGAATCACTTGTTTTTTTTAATTAGTTTAAAGCACTCCTTGATAATCCCAGAACACTGTCAGCATAACCTTCCCTGCTGATGGCGTAACCTTGAATTTTTGAACAAAAGGAGATGAAAGATGTTTCCATTGCACTGAAGTAAGCTTTGATTCGGTATAGAGAAAATCTCCAAACAAAAACAAAAGTGCCTCATAAAAAATTATAATTTATGCATTAATAAAAGCTAAAGTGGCTATAGACTTGAAAAAAAAATAAACACTGGCATGCTGGCATTCACTAAATTGCATTAATTTGTTTTATTAATGCCTCGTCTGCGTACAGCTTCAAAGCAAAACTCTGAAAAATTATTCAGCCATTAGGTGTATCAGAAAACTCATCACAATGATATTCTAAGCTATTTAACTTTATTAAAAGTAACAGAATTAAAAAGATAAATTACCATTTCAATTTAAAATTGTATTATTTGAACATTTATTTGCCCAGACAATTAGCATTATCAATCAGTATGCAATAGACAAGATTTTGTATTCACGCCGCCCACCATTTTGTTTCAACTCTACTAATTCAACCAATTCTACAAGACTTGATCATGAAAAAATTCAGTTTTGAAAAAAGTTGTCAAAATTTTCAACTCAAACTGTCCAACTGTACGTAAAAATGTACACAGAATTCGTTAATACCACAGCAGATCTGGGAGTCTGCTCCCAGCATATTTTCAAAGCTCATACAATATTTATAGATATGTTAAGAGCTCATACAACATATACAGACATGTTAAGAGCTCATAAAATTTATATAGGTTTGTTATGAGTTCATACAATTTATAAAGATATGTTAAGAGCTCATTCATACAAGTTATACAGATATGTCGAGAGCTCATACAATTTATAAAGATATGTTAAGAGCTCATACAATTGTTATGTATATGTTAAGAGCTTATAAAATGTTTAGATATGTAAAGAATAGACACAATTTATACAGATGAGTTGATATACAATTGTTAGAAATTATACACATGCGTTTATATATACAGTTGTTACAATTGATACAGATATGTTATGAACTCACAAAATTTATAATTTCCTCAAGTGGTGTTCCAGCTTCAGCCTTTTCTCGCTTAGTCCACACATACTCAGATGTAGTCTGAAAAGCAAAGTGCACTTCAGTGGTGTCATAACGAAAACATAGGTGCAGTCTTAAGAAATAAAGGCAGCCGGTGTGGTGCCGATCACATCACCCACCAAGTGCCCATTGGTCTATAAAAATATAGGTCTAGCCCTATATTCCCAATACGCCTAAATGGCATGGAATAGAGACCTTTACTTTTACTTAACTATGGCAAAAACATAGTAAGCAAAAGTAAATGACCTATTCCTACATCCACAGGTGCACTGGACATATGGTGCTAGCAGATTATTTGTATACATGCTAAGTACGACACTGGCCAGTGTTACTTTCTATTACATTACTATTCCTAATCTAAAAGTTAACAGGATCTTCAACTTTAAAACACCAGGTTTTTTCCCATATGGCTCGGGCTTTCTCCGCAGAGTGGCTGGCCACAAGCCAAAGACTGTTACATGAAGCACAAACACAATAGTAAATTAGACTGAATCAATAAATAAGAAAATATACTAGCACTGCCATACAATGCACTTCAATGACCATTCATGGATAATAGATGAATGACTAAACAGATGAGCTCTACAGTACTTCTGCATGCAAGGATCATCAGGTGACAAAATAAATTAGCTCTGCAAGTACTTCTGTATGCAAGAATAATCAACTGACCAAACACGATTATCTGTGCAGTACTTCTGCATGCAGGGGTAATCAGGTGACAAAATAAATCAGATCTGCAGTACTTTTGTATGAAAGGGTAATCAGGTGACTAAACAAATGAGCTCAGCAAGTACTTCTGTATGCAAGAATAATCAATTGATCAAACATATGTGCAGTACTTCTGTATGCAAGGGTAATCAGGCAACAAAACAAATAAGATTTGCAGTACTTTTGTATGAAAGGGTAATCAGGTGACTAAACAAATTAGCTCTGCAAGTACTTCTGTATGCAAGAATAATCAATTGATCAAACATATGTGCAGTACTTCTGTATGCAATGGTAATCAGGCAACAAAACAAATAAGATCTGCAGTACTTTTGTATGAAAGGGTAATCAGGTGACTAAACAAATTAGCTCTGCAAGTACTTCTGTATGCAAGAATAATCAATTGATCAAACATATGTGCAGTACTTCTGTATGCAATGGTAATCAGGCAACAAAACAAATAAGATCTGCAGTACTTTTGTATGAAAGGGTAATCACGTAACTAAACAAATGAGCTCTGCAAGTACTTCTGTATGCAAGGATAATCAAGTGATAACACAAATGAGATCTGCAGTACTTTTGTATAAAAGGGTAATCAGGTAACTAAACAAATGAGCTCTGCAAGGACTACTTTCTGTATGCAAGGATAATTTAGTGATAACACAAATAAGATCTGCAGTACTTCTGTATTCAAGGGTAATCAGGTGACTAAACAAATAAGATCTGCAGTACTTCTGTATGCAAGGGTAATAAATCATCATCATGTGCCATTACAGGTCACACAGGGCTTACAGTCTTTCATTCCATTTTTCTTCATTAGTGTTAACACTTAAAAAGTTGGCTGTGTTTTTTTTTTTCACAGCTAGGTTGCAATATCTAACTTTTCTGTACATCAGATTTCAGCTAATTCCTAATTAGTTGTCTTTTAGGACATGCCTGTTAAGGGGCAAGGGGTCGATTCTTTCTTCGTCTAAAATAGGGCCGGGTCACGTAACCCATTTGGGGACCATTTCCTTCTATCCTGTGCAATTATTTCGATATCATGGATAAAACCTAATCCAGTACCTTTTGCCTCCCTCAGCAAAATCCATCTTAGGGTTTTGTCGTGGATGTCCTCATTTCCTCAACCCATTTGTTAACCATTTCAGTGTTGCTCAGTGATTCTTTCTCTGTCCATTTCTCTTCATGAGGAGAAAGGTAATAAATGAGAGACTAAAAAAATGCTTAATAAATGAAGGACTAAAAAATGCTACGTCTGCAGAGCAGCATTGTTGTCATGTACACTATTTACCTTTAAATCTTTCAACTTTCCTTGGTTCTGGTGAAGAAAGTGGGCTAGCCAAGCTGCACCATCTGCTGGAACATCATAACGACCCGGCTTGTATGACGATTCTGTAATCTCTTTCTTCCATCCCCGCACCAATCTTCCAGCTGGGAAAAGGAAAAGAAAACTTAAGCAACAAATTTCACACTTTATCTCTCTCCCCTCTCTTAAACACACACACTCACATGTACGCAGACACACAAAAAGATACAAAAAGGAAGTAATCAATAAACATGAAAAATACTATCTGGTGATTCATGTGGTGACCCAATGACCTCTATCACTTAGGCATCAACTTAGCTTCATAACAGCCATTTGGTTCAAAAGGAAACCCTCTAAATGCTATTTTTAGTAAATGTATTCATTTCCAGGTCTACTAAACACTGTGCAGATATGAACAGAACCTTTTACATTAAACTACGCTTCTCAGAAAAAGGCCTGTGCAGTTTCAGGACATTTACATGGAACTAAACCCAACTGAAAATGCAGGGTTTGCAGCCTCTCAGGGTGAATAGGTTAAAGACAATGTAAGCTGCTTATTACCCTAAAGGCAGTAATCTTTGCAGCTCTTCTGTACCCACACATCAAGTGATTAATCAAACAACATAAGCTGTAATGATGTAACGAATGGATCACAATATGATCCGTTATCCGAAACACACCGACTCAGCTTTGGTCCAACTTTACAGGGTCCTGCACAAAGAAGGTAATAGGTTCATTTCATGGATGCCTTGTGAATTCATGAATGCATTTTATATGGAGGTCCCTACGAATCGTTGCTAAAGCTACAGAGTTCATGCAGCTGACCGTTCTACAAAAAAGATACCGAGCCATACAGGATCAAAGCCGGTGCAAATGAACATGGTCTCTCTCAACTTGTAACTTTGGGTTAAATAAAATACAGAAAACTCTTGGAGGAAACATTACCAACCTTGGCCTAAATCAAGCTAGCCTTGATATGCTGTGAAGAATGATTGCCTGGCCGTCTGAACCCTTTCGCTTCTTAAAAATATTTTTCTTTTTAAATGACCATTTTTTATTTAAAGAAATGCACCAATATAATTGTCTGAGACTCTGCCTAAGAGACTAGAGAAAGAGAAAAAGAAACAAAAGAAATTTGAAGTTTTGGTCTGTTTTTATAAATATCCAGGGGCACTGAAACCTATGACCACTGAGCAGACAAGCAGGCCTTCTAGTTACTGTGTCAGTGTGACATCAAAGTCACTAAAAGAAGGGTTTTATATAAATAGAGTCATTATTTTGCACAAAGGCGATTTTTGTTTTTTAATTTTTATTTTTATTTATATGAAGGGAAGTATTCACAAACACAGAAGGAGCAAATAAATAACTGCTTTCCTTCGTTCAGACCAAGAAAACAGAGGTTTTGTTACCACAAATAGCAAAGTGAAATCATTAGGTTTAGTATGCAGTTGCAACCAGTATCAAAGCTGTTATATAGGCATATTAGCTACTACCCAAAAAAGCCATATCATCAGAACCTCGACTGTTTCTGGTCGGGATGACAGGGTTAATATGCCTACTTCATTCTACTTTATTCTTCAGTGATCATTTGATATGTATCTATTCTAGAATAGTATACTTGACATCTTCACTAGTGTCCCATAGTTCGGCATTCAACCACAAATGTAACGAAAGTGGGTATTGGAGAGGGGATGGTGAGCTCTGCAATACAGTCTCACTGGGGATAATACTTTTAGCACAGGATTGGCAGCAAAGTCCAGGAAAGCTGCAAACCATTTTCTGAGATGCAGTTATTAACCTAATTAGTCTAAGTACTTTGGAGTGCTGCATCGGAGGACTGAGCATCCATGGAAATGCCTAATGTGCAGTGATGTCGATTGTGATAAAATAATGATGCTGGGTAAGCGGCACAGTCGGGGTTCGCTGCTTTTCGAGGCGACACGGATAAGGTTCCAAGTCATCAGGAGAGCAGAAATGTCTCTAGACCATAAAACTTCTCTGTATGATAGCCTTTTTGAGGACTTAGGCAACCTGAATGATGAAGCATGAGTTTCTTGAGTTAAAGCTCAGCATTTCAGAGTTCACAAGCAACCAATCATCCGAAACTTACCCCAAGGAACATGCACAATGATCCAGTTATCTCTGTAACAAGCATGCATGACATGGTTCATCACACATGTTTTGCCAGCTCCCTTGCGGCCATCTTTTTTCAAATTAAGGAAACCTTGATCTTCAGACTCAAAACATTTCATACTACAACATGAGATTAATTTTATCCAATTTGTTTCAGTAAAGTCACAAGCACTAAACAGTCTCAGATTATGATCTGGAAAATGTGTCACAATATGTCCACAAACAAAAAGCAACAAACAATAAACATAATTTGGAAAATATGTTCACACACACACACAAAAACATACAAAATTAAGAGAATATGGAAAACATATAATATGTTCACAAGCATAAGTAAAAAAGAAAAAAATGAACTGCTTTGTGAATAAACTTTCAAAAAATATTGTTTAAAAGGAAAATAAAGATGCCATATTTTTTGGGGGAAAAAGACAAATAAGAGACAATGCATACAAGTTATAAAATTGTGCAGAAATATAAAATCCAAGTTTATTTTAATATTTACGAAGGTAAAGAAAACAAGACAAGTTCACACATATAAAATATCAATAAACATAAGATCAAACTTGTGAAAAGAGACACATCAGTTTTCTCTGTCAGGCATGTAAAAAGTTTATTTTATCCTGATTTTATAATAGATGTGTAAAAGTGAGAAAAAAAAATTGCCCTATTTCACAGGGCCAAAACATCTAACACTTCCAGTTGGGTGCAATTCCCCTTAAATGCCACTTTTCCGACTTGCCTAAAGTGAGAGGTTTACAAGACATACGGTTAATACTATTGACTGAGTTTGTGCCTGTGCAAACATTCAGGTGGGCAGGATATTAATATATTAGCAAAAAATAGCCATCGGGGGATTCTCCTGTAAACCAATGAGCTTTTATAAAGCCATATGGACATACAAATTTGACGTAAGCATCAGTGATAGAGGTCACAGGGTAATGGCATGCTCCACCCAATACATATTGGTTTTTTAGGCCTCAGGGAACGCATTCCATTTCATGCTTCACACTGCTCATGTTTGCTGATAGCTTCTTGTACATATCTTAGCACAAAATTTTCTTTTAATTTCAAAACAGATAAATAATTTTTTATTTTTATTTTGGTAATGGTATTAGTGATCTGCAGAAAATGCTTGTTTTTTTTTTTAAGGATACTTGGGAGGAATTCCCACATTTGTTTTTAGCACTACCGAGGTGACTGGATTAAATATGACAAGAAATACATTCAACAGCATCAAGAAGATAGCATCTTAAGAAGATAGACAATAACAATAAAGATATAAACAGTATTCAGAAGTCCAGCTTCAAGGAACTTTCTTGGCTGTACACACTGGGATAACCCAGGATGATGGGAAATAAGAAAGACAACAAATTGGCCATTACTGCAGTGACTTTTGGAGGAATGAAGGAAGAAACAAATTTTATTTTTTAAGGGTCACAAATTGGGCATGCAGGCCCATATTACATTCAGCCCTTCCAAGCACCCATCTTTCATACAGTGATTGTATTGTATCACTAAAGCATATTATGTTCATATGAGAATATGCATATTATGATTATCAAGAAAAAACACATGGGTAGTACACATGCCCCCTCACTCACTGACACACCCAAATATAGACACACACACGCCCGCATACATATATACATATGTAATACATAGGTATATACAGACGCACACACACAAACAAAAACACACACATGCAGACAAAGAGGAAGTACGGACAGGGTTAAGATACTGAATGCACTGCTTTCTAGATACTTTGAAACAAAGGAGTCAGAGATAACGAACCGTCTGTTGGAAATGAGTATTAAATGAGAACAAGCATGCAGAAATCAGTTGTGGGGGGAAAAAAAGGAAGATAAGCCAATCAACTCCTACTGGTTATGCTGAGATGGCTCTGGATGGGAGAACAAAGCAAGAAAGGGTCTGACTGATGTGCCAGGATGTCTGTAGTAGCAACAAGTTAAAACAGTCAAATAATGTAGATCAGTGGTTCTCAAATAGCTGTGAGCTGCAGACCTTTCTTATTCTGTAACATCTGCCATGACCCAACACTTTTTAACAAAGAGAAATATTGACATCTTAAAAGATCTGAACATCAAGGAAGATTGGCTAATAAACAGCATCCTTTCTCGAAAGCTGAAATAATTTGGTCATATCAAGCGCCACAACGGATTGGAAAATATTATAGCAGAAGGCATGATACCAGGAAGGAGGGGCAGGGGTCGACCAACACGAAGATGGGCACAGGATATAAGTGACTCCTTGAGTGTGAAAGTGCATGAGGCAGGAGAACTGGTGAGAGACTGAGTTTCTTTCAGGCAGACTGTGATGAGAGCGACGTTCTGCACAGCACCTGCTACATGATGATGACTGAAGAACTGATAATTTATAAATTTCAGAAGCCTAAAAAGGGATTGTACACGAAAGTTTTAATAAATCAAGTTACCAAACAAAACTAACCTCAGATATATGCCTGCTAGTATTAATAGATATTATTAGATATGCTGACTTTTAATCCAGTTGTCACTGTGTACTGTCAGTATAAGAATCCTTTGTCGGCTACTACAGGAGAGAAGGAAAATGTGGGGATGCTCTGATGGCAGTGGTGTTAATGTTTAATTCATTCATTCAATCAGAGATGATAATTAAATCTGCCATACAGAAACACAACCACCCAAATTCGACTAAACAGCTTAATATCATGTTTCTCTCTCTCATCTCTCTATGTGCGCACGTGCAAGCAGACGTGTGGCTGCTGGGTGGGGGGGGGGGGGGGGGGGGGGGGGGGGGGGGGGGGGGGGGGGGGGGGGGGGGGGGGGGGGGGGGGGGGGGGGGGGGGGGGGGGGGGGGGGGGGGGGGGGGGGGGGGGGGTCTTCATTTTGTTAAGCTTCTCAGTCAGTTCAATAGATTAACTTCTTGATATCAACCCTGCTTCACTGACACAAACAACACTGTGTAGACTGCTACTGTACTTTCCACTGTTAAAGTCTTCACAAAGGATACATAGCACAAATCTATGCACAGGGTGGTTCAAGTTGATGTTCTTGATGTAGCTAATCAATTCCACAGAAGGCCGCCTCACCATAAGACATGATTCATTAAAAGTCTTCATCTGTAATACAGCAAAAAGAATAAAACAATTACTGTAACACAGTTCTGTGTTAATAATCAAGATGATTAGGAGGAAGAAGAGTTGTATCAGGATGAGGAGAAAAGGGGGAGAAGAGGAGAAAGAGAAAAAGAAGATGAATATAGCAGGGGAAATATGACTTTTTTTTTATAAAATCAGAATGTGCATTGCCGGCTGTCTTACTGTTTTTCTGTCTTCTATCCCCCAATGGAGCAAGGCCCTCTACCAACTCACACCCACCCAGTCGTTTTATCCTTTGCTGTTGCATGCAGCTCATCCCATGTCATCCCCGTCATTATAAATTCACCCTCTAGCTCCCTTTTCAGTGTGTTTCTGGTCTGCCTTTATTTCAATGCCCCTGTGGGCTCCAGTGAAATACATTCTAGTTATAATGGTCAAGTAATCTCAGTGTGTGTCCTATCAAACACCGCGCACCAATTAATAAATGTTTGTAGCTTCTTAGTAACTGTTTCAGTTGTCCAGGTTTCCACTCCATACAGCAGTACATATTTCAAATTAGAGTTAAAAATTTTAAGTTCTCTATTAATTTTAATTCTTTTGACCTCCACAAATTTCATAGTGCTATAAAAGTTCCTCTTAAATTTTGTATTCCAATTTTAATACCTCTATCAGTTCCACAATCTTTATCTACATTACTGCCCAAACAGGTTTAAGACTCCATGTCTTGAAGTGGGATACTATTAAGAGAAACCAGATTACTATTTGTCTGGTTTATTCTCATTGTCTTTGTATTTCCCTTATGCATTTTTAGACATAGTTTTTGTGATCTTGCATCAAGTATATTTAATTTTTCTTGTATCCAATTCTGTTAGAGGGACAGAAGATAGATATCATCAATGAAGTCCAGGTCCTCAAGTTTTTTTCTTAGGAGTCCACTGAATTACATTCCTTGTGTTATCAGATGCTGTCTTCAGAATCCAGTCCACCGCCAGCAGAAATAACAGGCAACAAAAGACATTCTTTCACACAACTTTTCTTATCTCAATTGTATCTGTTAGCTTTACCTCATGAAGAACTCCACATTTCATGTATCATGTTCTGACAAAAGGCTGTCAAGAATCTTTCTGAAGAAGGAAATCACTATCATCATCATCAAGGGCCTTGCTGACTGGAATGCATCCACATGATACAGAAGAATCATCATCTCTGTTGGGTGGGTTATGTAGGCCGCTTGCCAGACTATTGCCTCCCAAAGAGAGTACTTTATGGCGAGCTGAAGCAAGGGAAGAGGTCACAAGGAGGACAGAAAAAGTGCTACAAGGACACTCTCTAAACTGCTCTTAATTTTGTTGACATCAACACAGCCACATGGGACGCTACTGCACAGGACCCTTCTGGATCGGGTACGTCCCTCAGGCATGGTGCATCAGCCTGCTAGGCAATGGAGGTTCCACAGGCAGAGAAATAGAGGCAGACTAGAAAGAACTGTACCGCTAATCTCACACTTACTGTGGCTTCCACCTGTTGTATGCACTACTCAAGAATTTTCCATATTGGACTAATCAGCCATCTTTGAACTCATAATCAGTGGTCATTACTACTTTGGAAGAAAAGTGGTCGTCATCACTCGAGATGGACGAACAGCATCATTTCTTTCCCATAATCTGCAATCTCCAGTTACCCTGCCATGATATAAACTGTCCAAAATCATTGTTTCCTGCTTTCTTCTATCTCTCTTTCTATAAATCTAGTTGTTACAACTTGTTCTTTCTTCTCATAACCATGCCGAAAAATGAATATCTATTTCTGACATTTGTGCTAAGCTATCTTTGGTTCTTTGCCACTTTTAAAACATCTATATTACTTATTTTGGTTGTCCACATCTCACATAATGAGTCATCATCATCATCATGTGCCCTGCCAACTGGCTTTGCGCTCATGCTTCACAGATCACGATCCCGGGTTGCCTGGAATAGCTTTCTTGATGCCATCGTTTCAGCCCATCCAGCATCATCTCTCTTGGTCTGCCTCTACCCCTTTTTCCACTGATCTTTCCAGTTGTCACAATGTTCTCCAATGTCTCTCTTCTTATTATGTGGCCAAAGAACAATGTTTGTCTGTTTCTTATTGTTGTACAGAGATCTACTTTCATTAGCTTGATTCAAGCAATCGTTGTAAGTTACTCTAGCCGTCCAAGGTATTCGTAACATATGTCACAGAAACCACATCTCTGTTGCTTCCAAATTCTTCCTAAATTGTTCACTGACATTCCAAGATTCGCTGCCTATACAGCAGTACAGGTTCTATGTAACATTTTAGCAACCTCTCACATAATGAAGTGCTTTCTTTTTACTTAGTGTTCACCGACTGATACCATTTCTGGACTTGAATCTTGACCTAGAAGTTGAATTTTGTGTTCTCATTCATTTTACAGATGAGCTTATTTGTAGAAACACCGTTTGTTCCTAGCAGCTCAGACAGATGCACTGCCACTTCAAAGGAAAAATCGAATTAGTCGCCTTTTTCGACATAAACCAGGCAGTGGGTCTATTCTCCCCCCCCCCCCCCCCCAAATGGAACCCACATGGGGAGATGAATGCACTAGGGTAGAAAATTCGTTACTTCTAATTTTATTAGAACCTAACACGTCACATGCCAACAGCATGCTACTTCCCCTCATTTTATTAGAACCTAACATATCACATACCAACAGCACGCTTCTTCACATCATTTTATTATAACCTAATACGTCACATGCCAACAGAACGCTACTTCACATCATTTTATTAGAACCTAATACGTCACATGCCAACAGAACGCTACTTCCCCTCATTTTATTAGAACCTAACATATCACATACCAACAGCACGCTACTTCCCCTCATTTTATTAGAACCTAACATATCACATACCAACAGCACGCTACTTCACATCATTTTATTTTAACCTAATACGTCACATGCCAACAGAACGCTACTTCACATCATTTTATTAGAACCTAATACGTCACATGCCAACAGAACGCTACTTCACCTCACTTTATTAGAACCTAACACGTCACATGCCAACAGCACGCTACTTCACATCATTTTATTATAACCTAACACGTCACATGCCAACATCACGCTACTTCACTTCATTATATTAGAACCTAACACGTCACATGCCAACAGCACGCTACTTCACCTCATTTGATTAGAACCTAACACGTCACATGCCAACAGCACGCTACTTCACCTCATTATATTAGAACCTAACACGTCACATGCCAACAGCACGCTACTTCACCTCATTTGATTAGAACCTAACATGTCACATGCCAACAGCACGCTACTTCACATCATTTTATTATAACCTAACACGTCACATGCCAACAGCACGCTACTTCACCTCATTATATTAGAACCTAACACGTCACATGCCAACAGCACGCTACTTCACCTCATTTGATTAGAACCTAACACGCCACATGCCAACAGCACGCTACTTCACCTCATTATATTAGAACCTAACACGCCACATGCCAACAGCAGAAACTGCCATGGACTACCTGTATATTTTTTTACAACAGGAAAGATGTCAGATAAAACAGTATTACTGTGTTTCTAAATCCTACACGTGAATGTGTAACGTCTGGTTAGCGGGTGGGGCTGCGCCAGGTGTACGGACTCCTTTAGGACATCCCCTGCCTCTTCCCTAGAAAGCAGGAAATAATAGGGTGACGGTTTACTTCCTGCATGAAAAGAATACCTTCTATGGATTCTGTACTTAATAAAAAGAATCATCGCCAGAGCTACGGAGTGTGTGCTCTGTGCTTGATACCATCTTCAGGTGACAATGGAGAGAGTGGGGAAAAGAGAAGACGAGGAAATGGAGAAAGAAATCAGTATAGAAATTGGAGAGCTCGAGCCCGGATGAGACGAATATACTATCAGACAGTTATTGGTACCATCGGAACTGGAACTCTTTGCATGTTGCTGAAGATGGGGACTGAGCGCTTATAGGAGTGTCCCGAGTGCTGTAATGTCGATTCTCAATTACACATTTGGCCACATCAAGCGTCATGGTGGCTTGGAAAAGACGGTGGTGGAAGGTGCAGTTTGTGGAAGGCAAGGCAGGAGTCGACCACCCGAAGATGGATACAAGACACTGAAGATGCATTGGCATTGAAAGCACATGAGGCCGGAGAGCTGGCTAGGGAAAAGGGATACTCTCAGGCGTGCCGTGAAGAGAGCAACATGAGAGATGCAAAAGTGCCCAGTACTAGCACCCTTTTTTTTAAAGCATCATTTTTTTTAGCACTACTTAACAGACACTTCCTGGCAAGTAACGGTATCTTTTCTTACAGAAAAAAAAAACCTGCTTGTGACATAAAATACTCAACTTACTGGATCATCTACATTGGTTCTGAAGACTGTTCGCAAATGTGATTCCTGTGGTTGACTCACCGATGAAACTGGCCTTACTGTCTGCTGGCAAACACCTGCGGACAAAGCATAACTAAGACTGTTAACCAATTTACTTAATCTTTTTGTATTATTTAATTAATAATACAAGACATTTTGGTCCTCATTTATGCCATAGAAATGCTTTCCTTCTACAGTAGGTAACTCTTTTAAATCTGTTCCTAATGGCTTCACATGGACACTTTATTTAGCTAATGTCAAAGCTGAATTTGGGAAATAGACCCAATGTGACGAAATGCACCAGTCACCATCTTTTGTATGTACTTTTGCTTCTTCTGTGGTCGCTCTTAAAAGGTGGCTGTAACTTAGTGCTGTGGTTTGCAGCTAGGCTGCAATTTGTGTATTTCTGCCCAATACATCTTATTAACCCTGAAGTGTTGCAAAAGCTATAAAAAAAAAATGGGAAAAGGGGGGGGGGGGGGGGGGGGCATGAACCCTTGGTAGTTCATGAAAAAAATCCTTTAAAACATTTTATTCTATTATATATATATACATACACACACACAGAAAGAGAGAGAGAAAGAGAGGGAGAGAGAGAGGGAGGGAGGGAGGGAGAGAGAGAGAGAGAGAGAGAGAGAGAGAAAGAGCAGAGAGAGAGAGAGAGAGAGAGTTCTGATTCCAATAGCACAAGTAACTGTCTGACTGTACATCCATCCCGCCTTTCCCTTGAGTGTTGAGCATTGGTCAGATTCCCTGGTAACTCCCCGCAGCACCATTCTCCTTATATCGAAATGATCTATTGTGCCTCCACATTGTTCACGCGCTCCCAAAGCGTCCTCACAACATCTAGCTTGTCATACATGTCAGTTACAACATGTGTGTACAGCTGATTCTCAATCCAGCGGAAGGCAGCAGTGACTGCCTCCACCTTCATTCTCAACCAGATGTTGTGATATCATATGCCAGGCTTTGTTGTTAACTAAGCAATGTCCATTCGCTTTAAAATCCCCTGTGGCTGCAAAAGTGGTCATCTTAGATAAAGGTTCCCAACTGGGGTTGGTAAGTGGGGGGGAGGGTCCTGGGTTTCCCATATAGGTAAAATTAATGTTTCCTTCTAAGCTGGAGTGCATCTATCTAACAGGTGAGGAACCAACAGCTTGCATACAAATAAGCTACATCTGTCAAATGGATCTGCATGCCAAACTTAAGTTCTCGAATAAAAAGAAAGTCCAGAAGTGGATGAACAACCAGACCAGAGTTTACAGTCAGTGATCGCAAAAGAAAAAAAATCCACTGTCAACTCTGAGAGTTTATTTTGGTGAAACTGCATAAGCTGGGCCAACAGGTGCACATATTGCAGCCCAGCTGCAAACCACAACCTAAGATGATTCATTTATATGAGTGAACATAGAAGAAGTTTAGTTTCTCTGAATTTATAACTTGCTAAAGTATATTCAATACATATTTCCAATTCACAAATTTAGAAATGCACATGTATCTTGCCATGGACCAGATTTTTTGCATTTGCGGATTTCCTGTTTTCTTGTCCATACTGAAGGTTTGCAACCTCTGCGAACTCATCATCTCAAACAACCCTGTCGTGTGTGTCATTTCAGCAAAGCAAAAAAAAAAAAAAAAAAAAAACAGATGTCCAGTTCAAACTCCTACGAGGCTACACACTTATAACCACACATCAGTAACAGCTACAGTAAGCATTACCCTGATGTAACCTGCTGTGATGTGCAGGTGAGAAATGTGATGATGCTCTTGCAGGGGCATGCATCCCATTTATCCCCTCCCAGTTGCTACCTAAAATGTCTGAAACGTGAGATCAAAAGATCTCGATCTTGATGGCAGACCAACAAGGTCTGAAAATGAAAAATACTTTGAATCTTGTCTCCAGGCTATGCCGGCTTAGAGGGTAATGAATAGGCAGACAGATTGGCTGGATCTGCACCACTGGGTGGTAAATTGATATATGACAAGGCAGATGTGGTCAAGGCCCTTTAGAAACAAGCAACGGAATCAGTAGAGAAATGAGATTATTATGGCCTGGAGAGAATGAGGCACCTGGGTGTAACCAGAGGGTCTGGCCGGCTCACTACACTCAGAGGAAAGGCAAGATGGACATATAACCAGATTGTGACCGGTAGCATCAGTACTGGAACTCGGCACTGGCTGCTAAAGATTAGGACGAAGCACGGATGGGAATTATGTCAATTCTTGACTCAACTCAACAGGGCTTGAAAGTTTGACACTGTGCATGGTGTGAGAGTACTCTTCTTCAGTGCTGACTGGTGGCAGACGTACAGTCCAGGAGGACAAGCCTATATACTATACATACATATCTTCTTCTTTGTTCGGGTGGGGGGGAGGCCTGCGTGGTCTTGAGGCAAATCTGCCTCGAGTGCAAAAGGTTCCGAGTTCAATCCGGGAAGGGTTGGGATGTTTTCACGTGGACTTGAACTTCTAGTAATTCCCCCTGGTCTTTGGGTAGTGAGATCAAATGCCCATGTGCATTGTTGAAGATGTAAAAAAAATCCCTGGGCAGCTGGAAATCAAAAAGAGTAGCCTAACGGCGCTGCCAGGGCAATATTTTGAGTTAAAAATCTACACAAAGTATTTCAAGATCCTCGCTGGTGCAACAGAGCCTGTGCACTGTGCTGAGTTTCTTCGAAAATGGACTTGAGATAGAAGAAAAACACTTATGGATTACTACCAGTGTGCCATGATGTTAATCCATTGTTCAAACCTCAAACCTTTTTTATTCACCAGCTCTAAGCTCCAGTGGAAAGTCCTGGTTGTTCGACCATTTGGACTTTGGCTTTGTGCCAGGGCCTGAGTTTTGCGTGTACATCCGTTTTAGTGGCTTATTTGTGTGCAGTTTGTTGTTCCTTGACTCTTGTGGAGATACACTCCGACTTCAAAGTAAGTCCACCAGTTAGTCGACTCCTATGACACGCTTGTTGGAGAGGCAGTTGATCTATTCTTGTTTTGCCCACTTTGATATACTCATACAAATCAAATACCAAGTAAGTAAGGAAGTTATGGCTATCCTCCTAATAACGGGCACATATTATGGCGGCCAAAAACACACCCTAACAGAGCCTCAGTCACATGTCAACTGCAGACTTCCGGCGACTACTGCCACCGCCGAGAGTATCACAAGCAGCAGCTACAGCATCTCCTGCAGCTTCCTTAATTTTATGTGCTCGTGAGTCCCATTTATCTTGGGAGCGTAGCGGCGTGCGTGGGAGATACTCTCGGCGGTGGCAGTAGTCGCCGGAAGTCCACAATTTATATGTGACTGAGGCCCTGTTAGGGTGTGTTTAAGGCCACCATAATATATGGCCGTTATTCAGAGGATAGCGGAAGTTATGCACAGGTACCGGAACATAACAGTTACCAGGCTGATCTACAGTAGTAGTGTGCGGGTAGGGATAATTAGTTTAAATGCTTTGCTTCCTCGGCTGAAACTTTTGATTATATTTGGACTCAGTGATACTCCAAAGAAGGTCAGAGATGTGATAAATAATTAATTTGGATTGATTTTGTGTAATAATGTCTATTATTTATTATAGTCTAACTCTATATAATAATAGTATTAATAATAATAGTTGTTATAAGTTGTCACAACAATTTTTCAATTTACAACGCCTTGTGTAAGTTTCACAGTCGCAATAGTCAACAGCATGGAGGTTGATTTAAATATAATGTTAGGAAGTGATAATCTGAACAAGTTATTACATTACCAGAGAAAGCTATTCTAGAGACGGCGCATGCCCTTGAGGAGTAAAGCACCCTACAACACCTCCAGATCATGCCTGCATCCATGTTTGCTTTTGCTACAGGTGAAGTAGCTAGGGTTGCCAGATTTTTCAACAACAAAAAACATAATTTTTAAGCCAAATTACTACCCAAAATACGCCAGAAAACGCCAAATAAAATGTAACGTACTCCACATCAAAAGCTCTAGATTAAATTCTTGACTGTCATCCTCACTGTAGAAGATACCTTTTCAGCCTTAAGTTAGTTAGTCTTTCCTCTTGTGTCGAGTGCGGCACATAGGACAGAGGTCATGACTCTCCATGCATGGCGGTTTTGCAATCCGTTGTAGGTCTTGGATGTTTGAGTGGCCCATGAGCGAGCCTTCCCTGATGATAGTTCTACGTAGGGTTTCCCTTGGTCCTCCACGAGATCTTTTCCCCTGTGGTGTCCAAATGAGGGCTTGGTAAGGAAGTCTTGATTTATCCATTCTAAGGGCGTGGCCGACATAGTTCCAGCGGCGTTTTCGTATAAAATTAGACACATACTCTTGCCTAGATTCTTGCCTTATTTGTGTATTTGTTCGGAAATCTGACCATTTGAAATTTAGTATTCTTCTAAGGCATTTATTTTCAAAACTGTCTAATTTTGTGTCTAGAGTTTTCGTTGATTTCCAGCTCTCGCATCCATAGGTTAGTACTGGAATCACACAAGAATTGAAGATCTTGAGTTTTGTGTGTTTGCTAAGTGTCTTTGATTTCCAGATGTTAGACAGTTTATTGAAGGCACTAGATGCCAGTGCTATTCTAAATGGTATTTCTGGTGCGGTAAGTGCAGCCTTAAGTGCAGGTGATATAATTTTTTTCGCATGCATGAACATTTAGCTCTATGCAACTGTTTGTACTGAAATGTACCCCCTCCCCCAACCATGCATTGTCATGATTTCACTTAGAGGATAAATTATGCACAATTATGGCACAATCACAATGGCTTACAGCAGTCTGCAATTTTGCTGCCATAACCTTAGCATTACTTTGCAAATGAGTCATTGTTGTAATAAGCTGTGACTGACTTTTTGACGGAGTTTTCATCCTGTGTTTTTCGGATTTTCATGATTTGACATGTTACTGATTTTTGGTAAAACAGTGACACAGTTTACAATATGCTGCCTCTGACCCGTTTGAAGATCTTGTGAGCCATGAGTATGTTTTCGGAAAAATACTATTATACTTGCGATTGCTGTCATAAGATGCTTTCCCTTTTTTTAGGACGTGGCCATTGGTAGGAGTAATAAAATCAATCACAGATAGAACTAGGTCTAAATCATCTCTACTTTCTATCCTGAAGTGGTTTCTGAACAGTCTGAATCAGTTGGTATCAATGGTAGGCTTTGCTTTTATATCCCGTATTTATTCAAGTAAATTAAAAAAATTTCTCTCAGTAAACTTTAACCACCAGCACAGATACGTCTTCCAGGCTACGTGACTCCATAAAGTGTGAACGTGCGATGGGTGATCCATAACCTGTTTTATTATAGTTAAATTACAGCGGGCCTTGTTTTATCGCAGTCACGATGCGTTTAGGAAGACAACATATTTATTCACAGATGCTCATACATTACGAAAGGGTGCACATCTAATTTAGTCCCGTGAACTAGCCGTAGGAGGACATCACAACAAACACAAACTCAAACAAAGATATTAACTGTAGGTCTACATTGCTTTTAGTAAATTAACGTATTTCTCACAGAGGAACTATGAAGAAAATGTGAACACGTCTTGTCTAGAAATAGAAAAGCCAGGAAAAAACCAAATACGCCAAAATACGCCAGCTCATTATGTTTAGCTAGTTCAATATCAAATACGCCAATTTGTGGGATTCTGGCGTCAAATACGCCAGTATGGCAATCCTGGTAGGGCCCCCTACTCTCTTCTACTATGAAACACTTTGAAACACACACACACACACTCACACACACCAACACTCTCACACACTATGTATTGAAATAAAAAGAAATACAGGTGAACACACACAATTGTTTAGGACAAGGGTAAAGGTGGGAAGGGGGTTCTTCACTTTTATTACATTTCTTCTAGGGCACTCCGAGATTTCTTATGGAATTCCGGGAAAATTCCAGTATTATTGGGGTATTAGGTGCGAAATGAACACCGACTAACACTAACCCAAACCCCCTATAGTATTGGACTTTCCCGGGAAATCCCTAAAAATTCTCATAGTGGCTGGGATAGGGTGAAATAAAATATGAGAACCGGGGGGGGGGGGGGGGCAAGAAAGCCATAAGCTCCCAGGTTCATTCGTTTACTTACAGAGATCCTTGTTGACTACAGGGAAGGAAATGTGCATGTGTAGTTTCACTCACTGAAGTCGAGTCGATTGAAGTCCCCTCCATAACGGTGGACTATATGGGAGATAACCATGTAAATGCTATTTTGTTGCAGGTCAGGTCACTGGGTTATCGAATTATATCACATCAGAAACTATTAAGCTGAGTGACGCTGACAAACTTCGTGCAGCCTCATTTTACTACAGTAAAGATTATATTTACAAGTACTGATTGACACCTCTCTGGTTGTTATAGTATTTATTGTTGCAGTGAGTTGTTGGTCAGTTGTTTTTAACTGTTGGTTAGTCACATTGAACCGTTGATCACTAGCACTGAACTGTTGGCCAGTTGCAGTGAGCGGTTGGTAAATTGCACTGAACTGTTGTTAACAGCAGTGAACGCTCACTGCAACTGACAAACAGTACACAGTAACTGACCAAAG